TCAATATTCAATGAATAATTGAAGTAGACTTTGAATGGAAAAAATGCATTTTGTAGTTATGTACGATAATTGATGTTTTGATAGATCTTAACTCCAAATTGTTATTTCTATTTAGAATAATTTACAATATTCATCTAGTCTTGTCTGAAATAAGCAATCATATACATGTTGTTTTATATTGATGTTAGGCAAAAACGATGCATAATTATAATTGTTAGATTTGATAATTGATTTTCTACAATGATTTGAAATTAATTATGAATTTTCAATTTGTAAGATTGTCAATTTACAACTTTTTATCTTTAGAAATTATTTTCTTATGAATATGAGAGTGATCTATGTTTTGTATATATATTTCTATTCTCATCAAAATTTAACATATGTGAAATTACTAAAGATCAAAATTGCAGCAGTAAATTATCTTGAAGTGCACGTTTGTTACTTAGATCTTCATTTTCTTAAATTTTATCGGAGTGAAATCAACTCGATCGTTCTTCAAACTTTGCAATTCCAGTCCGGCGTCCAACGATTTGGATTATCACATTTTTCTCTCTCTCATATGTTAGATTTTGCATTGGAGTGTAGTGTAAAAGGCATTACCACTATGTCCAATAAGAGATCCATCAGAAGCAGTCTTCACTCGTGATTTCACGGACTGTTGGATGCAACTGAAAACATATGAAGGAAAAAAAGATACCTCTCAATAAGTTATGCGTTTTAAGGTCGAATGTAAAATAATATACTCTATATGTAAGAAAATAATTAATATTAACAAGAAGGCACAGCGAGGCTCGGAGGGCTGAAGGCCGGAGTGCTTTCCGAGGGGAATTGAATATAAGGAGACATGAAGTATTGCAAAATATCGTCTCCACTAGAAGAAATAATGAAGATGAAACAATGCTAGTTCACTACTGTAATTAGCTTGAATAACAGAAAACATCAAATAATTTGTTTTTTCCCTCTCTTGTCCAATACATCGTCACCCAATATGCGAATCGAATATCGCGCCCAACACAAGTCACGCCGTCATAAGAATTACTTCCTTGTATACGAAATGAAAAATACTTTTATTTTGCATCCGCAATATTCTCGAGTCCGTATCTTTTGCCCTTCAAACAAACTGTTTGTAAGTTTTCGGTTTGGATGGTTAAAATCGGGAGCTTTGAGGTATTTCACGGAGCGTATACAATTCTCCAAACAAAGTACTATGACATCAGTTGAGATGCTGGAAGCCTTTCAACACATATTCACAAAATGGAAGTTAATATTGGATCATTTTCTTATCATTAAGCCAAATGAGAAAAATATCTGGTGCAAAAAAAGGAACTTTGAAGCGATCAAGGTCAAAGAAGTGCTTCTAACCGAGGGCAAAAGGAAGAAGCAAATAAAAGGCCGGAGCCGCCAAGTTGAGCAAGGAGGACCATGGAACGAATTCATGCGACGAAGCTGGACACTCCATGTGCTGATCATAATAAGAATCGAGCGGGCAGACGAGTCTGACATCGCCCAGATTATCAGGGGCTCCAACACGCGCATTCGGCAGCATCGCAGGCTCGCAATGTGGGAGGTTCAGGGAACTGGTGGGTGCCAAGTCCGCCGCTCTTGCAGCACGAGCCCAGAAATTGCTCGGTCCCGCAGCACACATGCGCCTCCCTCCAAGTTTGGCGCTGGAGACCTTTGAAAAACATGGATCCTCACGGACGCATCCGCCAACCCATTTTAGACCTACAGCACGGGAGTGTTTGACCGGCAAGACGCTGGGGACATTTCCGAGTACAGTCACCGGAGTTGACATTCGAACCACTCCTGAATTGGAATCGCTGCTAACTTTAGAACGGGAGTTGACATTGGCGATTTAATCCCTCTCACATGGACGAAGCTCCCGCTGAGAGATATAGTTGAAATCTGGTGATGTGAGAAGAAGAACAGTCACATGCCATGGGAGCACGCAGCCTGCAGCTCCACAACTCTCTGGCTGAGAATGGAGACGATGCAGCGGGGCACTTAAAATCCTCCTGCCAGTCGAATGGACCACTCGATCTGACAAGCGCTGCATGAGTCTGACGGCAGCGTTAGGTGGGTGTCGAGTGGCAAGCGCATCGGGAAAAAAGAGTGTGGTACTTCAAGATTGCCGCCAATCAGCGCCCTACTTTGGAGGGAGGGAGGGAGGGAGGGAGGGGAGGGGAGGGGAGGGGAGGGCAGGGGAAGAGAAGGAGGGAGTGTTATTATGTCCTAGAAGTTCTTGAGGTGGCTATTAGAATCTCCCGCGAGAGTAGGGAAAAAAAACAGTGGGGCCGGAATCAGACATTCTCCACCCACTTAACTTTTCCTTACATCCCAATCCGATCGCTGCATCCACCTTAAGGGAGGCGATGTCCAAGAAGAAAGTAGGAAGGGGTTATCTCGGGTTTATTAATACCTTTGCTGAATCTATATCTGAGACAATAGATGCAAAGTTTCGAAGCATGGTGTGATCCTCGAGATTGTTGAATTTGAGTCGGGACGACCGTTTAAAAAAACAATCGATCGCATGGCACTTTCGAGTTTAGGGCTTTGAAAGTCCTAAATTCCATGGAGAATTCTATGGAAAAAAGCCTCGCGTGAACATTCTTCACCTACAACTCACGGAAATCATTATCAGATTGCTCCCAAATCAGACATGGATAAGGTTGTTGCTTCCACAAATAGGCACACAACACCTACTACTGCAGTAGGAGGCGAGGTTGCATCCATGCTCCATGGTCCGTGCATTCGGAAGCATTTGCGTGAATCTATTCCAGTGGTCGCGCCTCGGTCATGGGTTCTCCGAAACACTCAATAGGACAAAAGATACAAATCTCATCTCATCTCGCGGGACCACTTATGAATCTCAGGAAGTCTTCGCTGCTTTCTGCTATGGGTTTCCTCTTCCCAGTTCGGTTCCTGATTCCTTCCCAAAGACCTCACTGTGGGATATGGCACCCTTCTTTTCGAGCGTGCATGGATCCGATCCCCCTCCACGATAGGATGCATGTGATTGACGAGTCAAGATGCATATTCCAATGAAGGAAGTGCATCTAAAGACATGGGAGCGGTCAACACTTTGGTCCTCCACTCCTCTTCCGTGGACCATCCTATGCAGTCACACTTGGCAGCCATTTCTCATCGGCGTCGCTCTAGAGTCCTTCGTGCCTCGACATGTCTCAAGACGAGACGCATGTCATTCAGGTTGCCTAGTTGCAGGGTTGGCATCGTAAGGTTTGTACTCATCAGGTTTAATGAGGTTCTTGTGAAAAACCTGATATCATGAATTGGTATCAAATCGGGCTTAAAGATTCTATTCGAATTTGAAATTTAAATTCAAAATTCACATTTGAAATCATAATTTAAATGTTTAGATCTAAAATTTAAATCTGGAATTTGAGATTGAACATAAAATCTGGGTTGAGAGAGCAGCCTCGCCGCGAGAGTAATCGGAGAATGAGTGAGTTTTTGGGAGCACAAAGTTGTTTACCTCCATGCATGATAGAACACTCAGTGAATATCTCTTTCTCGAGAGTGTGGTACCAAGTGTGACAATGATATCTAATATGATTATCACCAAAAGCGCGGTAATTTCAAATGATAGACGGTTGTTGTTTAAAATTATGGTTGAAATCGAGTTTTTCAAAGGTTTTATGAAAAACCGAAAATTGTTTTCAAGAATAATCGGGGTTTTTCCAACCATGCCTAGTTGTGACTCGTGTATCCCCCACTAACAGGACCAACATAAAATTATATATGCGCCAAGAGGTTCGTTTACCAGAGATTCATCAGGGGAATGCCATTGCTGCCCAATTTCCGGTCAGAGTCAAAATTCTGAGCGATTGAAAGGTATGGGCTTGCAAGGCAGACAAGGGTAGACAGGATTTGGAAGTGGGTCGTCGGCGACCACATGAGAGGGGAAGTTCGGATACGAATAAAATCGTCCTCGTGTGAGATACTATTCCACACCGAGGAGCGGCATTAGTTGCAGGAGATTAGTCCCAAGTACAGGACGATTAATTTGGGTAATGAGTTGAGAAGAAGTGGCGACTTTGGAGTCTCGTACCTTCGGAAATGGCCCTTCGAAATTCACGTACAGCCAGAACCACTTAAAGCCGCAACAGATCCATGTGCGGAGCGGGAGAGGGAGAGGGACGGACGGGCAGTTCGAACAACGGATTATTAGCCAAAGTGTTGCAGGCAGGAAGTTGGGCCATGTACAGCAGCAGCGAAGGAAATCTTTAGCATGATGATCATAATTCGAGTCAGACGCCGGCAAAAGAGTTTCTCGGCTGCCGGCATTGTAAAACCCAGTTCACACAATCTTCACGACTCGCTGCAACGGAACGGAGCGGCGGAAGAGAGCGCCGCCGGCTTCTTCCTCCTCCTCGCGTCCGGGTCTCCAATAGAGCGAAAGAGAAAGACTCGAACTCGAATTACTCCTCGATGCGTCTCGATGCGCCTGAATAAGCAGTCGGGAGCTGGAATTAAGCGCGTTCGTTTGCGGCTAATAATAAAACCCCGGAGGAGCGGACTAGTCAAGATCCGCCCGCAGTCGGGCATTGTCCCAAACGTGAGGCAAGGGAAGGGCAGGCTGGGACAGTTGGTTTTCTTGGCGCTGCTCCGGCACTAGCCACGAGAGGTAGAGGAGCTTACAGTTGCGGGCCTGGAACATCTATCGGTTCGATGGTTTGTTCTGTTGTATTTTTGGTGGGAGCGAGATTCAAAGCCCCCAAGCTTCAAGCTTGCATTGCATGGACGACGAGGCTGAGGCTGTAGCGTAGCGGGACTCGCTCGCGGCTCGCGGTTTGGACGTGGTCGATGTCCGGACCGGTAAAAAGTAGTTGGTTGCTAAATCGGAGAGGGACGGAGCGACGGAGGGGGGGGGGCGGGTTTTCGGTTCAGGATTTACTTGTGGGGCGTAGGAGTCAAAGTTCGAGGCAGTAATATCTAAAGCTGAGACGGCAACTGGAGCTCACTGCACGCCGATGGAATTGCCATTAACACGGTTACCGTACCGGATGGGAGTAGGCTGGCAATTGAATGCATGAGATTCTTCCGCCCGTCCGCTCTCGGCCCAGCTACTTCTACTCAGCTGCGAGCTCTCTCGTGAGTCATATTCCCCCAGCACCAGATCGCCCTCACTTCTCACCGTCTCTGTCCTCTACTCGCGTCCCGCCCCAGCTTCCGTCAAACTTCCTTCCTGCCGTGTCCCGCTATCACTCTCGCTTGCCTCCTCGCCTTCGACAGTGCTGCAGCAGCAGCAGCAGCAGCAGGTCTCTCTCTTCTCTCTGCACTGCACTGCTTACGTAGCGCAAGGAAAGTGGGACGAGAGGGCCGTAACGAGAGAGAGAGAGCGAGAGAGCAGGACCTCTCGGGCACTCGAGTGGGGGCTTTGAAAGATAGGATGTACTCTTCCACCCCTGCTTCTGGCATGCCACGGGACGCAAGCGAGAGAGACCAATCGAGCATTGTGGTTGGCAGTTCATAAACTCTCCATCTCCCCTGCGAAGGCTGCGTTGTTCTCTGCTCTGCCAGCGCTCCCTCGCTCCCTCTTTCTCCCGGCCTGGACCGAGGCCCCTCCCTTCTTCTGCTCGCGTGCGCAGAGAGACAGTCTCCCAGGCCTCTGCCCTCGGCGACGAGAAGAAACAACGAACCCCAGCTGCAGTTGGCATTGACAGTTCACTGCCTCTGCTCGTGTAACCTCCTCTGGACCGGGTGCGGGGCTGGACCGACCTCTGTTTCGAAGCTAGACGAGGACGAGAACGAGGAGGCCTCTCGCAGACTCGAGCAGTGCGGGGACGCAACGGGAGCGCAGCGAGTCGAGAGCCGGGTGGCTGATGAATGGCAGAGTGAAGGCAGAGCCGATTCGAGCAGCATTGTATCGGGCATAATATAAGGAGGAGAGGGAGAAGGAGGAGGAGGAGAGCAGCAGTTTGACACCATGGGCAAGTTGGGGAAAGCGAAGGCCAATGGGCAATGCTCGTTCCCGGACGTGTACCAATGCAGTTCGGAGAACAGAAAGAATCAGACCATAGTTGCGGACTTGGATGGCACAATGCTGCTGGGCCGGAGCTCGTTCCCGTACTTCATGCTGGTGGCATTCGAGGCCGGAGGCTTCATTCGAGCTTCCATCCTGCTGCTGCTGGCGCCGCTTGCATGGATTCTGTACCATTACGTCTCAGAATCCGCAGGAATTAAGCTTCTGTGCTTCGTGTCCTTCGTCGGTCTCAAGGCCAGGAGGATCGAGGTCGTGTCGCGCGCCGTCCTGCCCAAGTTCTACTCCGAGGACGTGCACCCGGAGACATGGAGAGTGTTCTCGTCGTTTGACAAGAGCTACGTGCTCACGGCCAATCCCCGAATCATGGTCGAGGTGTTCGCCAAGGAGTACCTGGGAGCCGACGAGGTGATCGGGTCCGAGATCGAGGTCACCAAAGGCGGCCGAGCCACGGGCTTCCTCAAAGCGCCGGGCGTCTGCGTCGGCGAGAACAAGGCCGCCGCCCTCCTCAACAAGTTCGGCGACTTCAAGCCCCATGTCGGCCTGGGCGATCGAGAAACCGACCACCCATTCATGTCCCTGTGCAAGGTGAGCAGTTTCTCCCCCGCAGCCATTGCTCTGTTCCTGAATATCAGGACGACTCGAGCGTCCATCGTCGCCATAATACGCCTCGCCCCTCTGCCGGACCTGCAGTCTCGAGCAGCGGGCGGGGCGCTTTGACATTTCGCGTTCGCGCACTCTGACTCGCCTCCACTACGACGTAATGCCAATGGCATTTCGCTCGCTTATGCGGACTTCCATTCGCCGTTGCGAACTGGCAACGCGGAAAAGCTGCAATCCGCTGTGAATTAGGCTCTGTGCGTCATCATATTATATTATATAATTCATGGCGTCCGAGTCCGGGGCTGGCTGTCGGAGAGTCCGAGTCCGTGCGAGCGGGGGCGGAGATTGGCGTGCTCCTGTTGCGTAGACTGTAGAGCGTCGGGCCCGATTGAATGAATGAATGATTGCGAATAATGTGACCGAATGGTGACAGATGAGGGAGACAATGGCGCTGATGAACATTTTGCTGTGGGCTCTCGCAGGAAGCGTACATCGTCCGCGAGGAGAAGGACCTGCAGCCGCTTCCGAGGGACATGTTGCTGAAGCGCATGGTGTTCCACGACGGGCGATTCGTGCAGCTGCCGACGCCCGGAGTGGCGCTGATCTGCTTGCTGTGGGCGCCCATCGGATTCCTCGTCGCGGTGTTCCGCATTGCGCTGGGCATGTGCCCCTTCACGTGGGCCTTGACCTTCCTGCGATGGACGGGGTGCCGGGTGATCGTCAAGGGAACTCCCCCGAAGGCCGTGCAGGACGGCAGGCTCGGAGTGCTGTTCGTGTGCAGCCATCGCTGCATGCTGGACCCGGTGATGCTGAGCGTCGCATTGCGCCGCCGAGTGTGCTGCGTCACGTACTCCATCTCGCGAGTGTCCGAGATGATGTCGCCCATTCCCACCGTGGCGCTATCCCGCGACCGCGACCAGGACGCCGCCATGATCAAGAAGCTGCTCGAGGTCGGCGACCTGGTGATTTGCCCCGAGGGCACCACGTGCCGCGAGCCATTTCTGCTGCGCTTCAGCGCCCTCTTCGCCGAGCTGACGGACCGAATCGTGCCCGTGGCCTCGAGCAACCAGATGGGCATGTACTACGGGACGACGGCCACGGGCTGGAAGGGAATGGATGCGTTCTTCTACTTCATGAACCCGAGGCCGCTCTACGAGATCACCTTCTTAGACCAGCTGCCGCAGGAGCTCACCTGCGCCGGTGGCAAGACCAGCCACGAAGTGGCCAACTACGTGCAACGAGTGATCGCCGGTGCTCTGAATTTCGAGTGCACGAATCTGACGCGCAAGGACAAGTACCTGGCATTGGCCGGAAACGACGGATCGGTCGCCCCCCGCAAGACGTCGATGCCCAAAGTGATCAAATCGAGCGATTAGACCAGAGCTTCCGCGGCCACTCGCGTTCATCCCGACTCCTCGTCGTCGTGTGCGGAGTTCGGGCCGGGAGCGAGTGGCCTCGTTTATCGAGGATCTATCGAGCTGAGCTCCTTGATAAGCGATCAGAGAGTCGGTATCTGTCAATTTCGTTGTTCACGCGCCTTACTACCGCATCTGAGAATTCGAGATGGTCTCGCGGAATTGGACATGGCCCGGGCATGCAAGCTCTGTAGGCCGTCATGACATTCATCTTGCGTCTTTCGATGATGAGTATGGCACGAGTCGTGTCCGGAATTATAGTTTATTATATGACCTAGCGTATAGACAAGAAGGAGGACGGACGCCCGGGGGAGATCCGAAACTGCTGTCTGCTAGAACTTGTATATGGGGAGAGGGCGCAGAACAGCAGAAAAGATTCATCCGGCGTCTTGTCTGACTTGAAGGATCGACGTTACAAACACATTGCCACCGAATTGGGTACATATATTCACGTCTGTAGGGCCTAGTGTCGCTTCGTACACCTACCACCATCGTCCGAGGTTGTTACGATTGTTCTCATCACTCTCTCTGCTCCTGAGGCCACAAACTGGACCACACCAGGAATTTGATCCAGCTTGCTCGCTGCAAGCAACAGCAGCCAGCCGCTCAGCCAGCTCTCGTCGACTCCAAACGTGTCGGCGAGGCGCTGACTGACAACAATGCGAGTGCACCAAGTGCTAAAGCATAGTATATGAGCTGTGGGTGTCAGGGCTTGATATCATTGACAATTCAGATGTGATTTTCAAGTCTTTTCGTCCTGAGTTCTCGCCCTAGACTCGTGTCTAGGAGTTGTACGTAAACAATTTGATCTAATCAAAAGGTTATTCCCTTTCTGCAAAAAACTTCTCTCTTGTGCATTATTCTCCTCCTCGCAGCGTGGTTGTAGCCGGTGGGGGCATCATGATTACTCAATCCCCCTCCGCAGCTGCAGGATGGGCGTCGAAAGTGTGCCTCTTGAAATGAATACTGTCTGGGTGTCTGCTGGTGCTCGCATTTAAGACGGCCCGCTCTGTCGTGCTGAGTCATGACCAACATTTCATTCTGCCGCCGTCCTTGACAGTTTACACTGTAACTCACCTTCTGCGTCTTTCCTCGTGGTCGGTACCCCGACTCCGGTGAGATGAGCCCACATCCTTTCTCTCATCGAGGCATTGTAACTCCAGACATAGGGGCGAACACAAGAACCCTGGATCGCAAGCTGGACTTTCGAGTACAGCTTTAATCACTTTTATGGGCGACCGGCATCGCAATGTCTGCAGGACCAGTATTTTCTGCCTCTCGCTTTACTTATCCGAAGGAAGCTTGGACGTCCATCCACCCTACTCGTCGCGTCCCTTCATTTGCTATGTTTATGTGGTAGTCCTCTTCTACCTCTCCCTTTTATGGAAGGCTTTTGACGCAGATTGCCTGATGGAATGTCGACTCTGAGGCTCTGAACGGTTTCGAATTTCAGCGGAAGTGGGAAGTTGCCTCAGAGAACCGAGCTGGGTCCTCAGTGGCGTTATCATGAATCTCATGTTGTACGATGTAAAGGTGAAAGCGTCGGTTTTCAGTTTGGTGTGATTGCACGAGGAAGAAATTTGGTTTCATTATGTTACACTGTCCGTACAAGAGTAGCATAGGATCTAAGGTCGAGCTTGAGAAGAGCTTTAGTAAGCTCAGCTTTTCAGATAAGGACCCCACGAAATTGAGCTTCACGTCCACTGAGGCCCAGCATATGCTTGCATCGAGTACAAGCTTTCGGTGGAGAATGTATGCACGAGATTAAGGTGCTTTTCGTGACTTTCTGTAACGAAAGTAGCGTCTCACGTGATGTTCAGATGGTGCATTGGCTCGGAGGACAGTGTCGAAGACCTCCACCGACTCTCGATGAGCCGTCCAGTTTCTGTGCAAATCAAAGGTTCGTTCCAGATGGTGACAAAGCCCCCATGGGGCCCATCTGGACCTTGGAGTAGCGTCCACCTTACAACACCGTCCTGATGGAATTAAATTTGTCAACGAACGACATATGTAACGCACCATAGCATGGCAGACAGGAAAACGAAGCATCTCCCGCTCCGAAACGAAACTCGCGTCGAAGGACTAGTAGACCGCGAGGAGTTGGTCCATGAACCACTCGAACAAGCTTCGAATTTAAAGCTGTGCTGTCAGATGCGTTAGAGTTTTGCTTCACATGACCTTGTCACGACTTGTCAGTCCAACATCCTGTGCAGGTCATGCCAGGGTGCAAATTTAATACTGGTGTTTCTCTTCGTGCTGCTGTGACCACATCAGAGCAGCGGCAGGTTGGAAGATCCAGATATTGCAATTTTGACACAGGCGGCTGCTTTGATGCTGTCACCGTGATGGGAGTTCTTTCCTGTAGAGGCCCACCTAATACGAACGAACGGAATCTGTCAAAACTGCTAATCCACAAACTTCATCCTCTTCTCGAGAAGGTTTCATTCGATAAGCTTCTAAATTCTTCTTCCGTGTCGGAATCCCCACTTGCTTCCGAGCTGCCGATTAAAGCTCTCACGGTCATTCATTCATTCCTTGATTTAATGCCCGGACGAGAAAATGGGTGCACAAGGCCATACATTGTACAACTCCTGTACTTTGAGGGCTACGGTAATGAGGAGCAGATGTGGCGGGAAGGGAGCATATTTGCTCTGCGGGATCATGCATCACTCAGCTCGTGGATCATGGACCTTGAATGCCAGACTGCATGCTCGACGCGTTCCTTAATCTTCATGAGTGAATTGGAACACTGTACAAAGGTCCTCAACGGAAATGCGATGAATTAACGTCACGTCTGATGCCCATAATCACCACAACGCCGGGGGCTCCATCTCCCATCAACGCCTTCGCATGTACGAGGCTACGAAACCTATGTCAAATCTTACGTGCGCCTTACTCGAATCAGATCACGGCGACTCTACGATCCACGCTCCTCGCTCGTCGCGGCGTGGGGTGTCTGTCGTCTCACTTGTCGTGCCTTCCGTGGCTTTGATTTGTTGCTAGCAAGACTGAGCCTCGGTGGCCCAGGTCAACGGACACACTTCTCTACGTGACCGGTTTCTGAGAGCCTGTCCACGTAAAGTAGATAGACTCCATTAAGGCGAGATTTGCAGCTATAGCTCGAGGCCTTTTCCACAGCAGCATACGACGCATTGTCCGATACTATGGTGGACTTCGAATCTGAACTGGTTGGACCTCGGTCTCGACTCCTTGGCACTGCTTGCATGGCGATCGAAAGTTCGATTTTGTACTTGCATGAGGAAATGTTTCTTGGTTTTGTTCTGTTGTTTTGTTGTTTTGGACAAGGTTCCAGGTTTTGTTTGTAGTTTTGGACAAAATCCAGGTTTTGTTTTGTTTGCACTCGTTTGTTTGATTTGCATGGAAAAAGTGTCAAGGTTTTGTTTGTTCGAGGCAGCAGGCGGTAAATTGTTAGCATTCTTTCGATGAGTTCTTTTGATGTTATCTTATATGGTAATTGAGTGTCTACATGACCTCATTTTTGTCTGGATTTTCGACGCTTTTTGAGAGGTGAAAACTTTTGTAAGATTTTCAAGTTATCCTGCCTGAATCTGGGCCGTAATGAATACAAGATTGTAGGTATCAAAGAAATCGGGTTGTTTTGATAAAAAGTCACTCGCGGTTATGTCCGCATGAAAAGATCACTGGGATGGAAAACCGCCTGTAATTTATGAAATATTTGTTGGTGATCTCTTGGATGCAATGATCATCACAACTCACGTAATAAATGTAAGCACACTTCATGATTACAAAAATGTGTTGATCTCTATGATTTTGCTCTGTCCGATTTTCTATGATACTTGATCCCATTTTTTGTACCATGAGTTATGTTAGTGTAATTTTTTGTTAAAAAAATACCCTTTATGGTTGATCAACTCTTTGTACTACTATGACATGAGTTCAATCATATGAGACACATTGAAAAAATTCAAATTCTTTCTATTCAACTGGGCAAAAGATGTTAATAATCGATATTGTGCGGTAAACAAGTAAAATATCTAATGCATTGGATAACCAGATATTAGATGCCTGATTTATTAAAACTTCATTGACACATTTGATCTTCATGAAATTAATTTCTGTTTTCATAAGAAACAATAGTTCCAAAAATATTTTGAAAGAATGCAGGAGATTTTGGGAAAAAAATTCAGCTAAGATATAGTTTTCTAAAAAAAAAAAACCCCTCAAAAAAGATAATTTGTTTATTCGACTGATCAATAATTACTTTCAATCATTAGATTATTTAGAATTAAATTATTATTTTGTAATTATATTCATAATTATTCACTAAAAATATCTTAGAGGCCAAATTGGATAGTTTTGGCTTTTATTTATTCATGTTAAAAATTAAAAATTATTCTTTTTTATCCTTCAATTCAATTCAAGCTTTTGTCTTCATTTATTCATGTATGATATTTTTAATGTTATAAGATTCTTCTCGTAAAAAAATAGTAATATGCATCCAAAATTAAAATTTATGTTTATGATCAACATGACTGATATATAAAATTTCAAAATCATACTAAATTTCATTTTTCTCAAACTTGTATCAACGCTTTATCTCAAGATGCTTTATTAAGGACTTGATGTATTCAGTATATCATTATTTTACATCTGATGATATGATACAATCAAGTATGTGGACATTTTTTATTCTATTTTTTTTAATATTTAAGTGTTATCGCATATTTATTGAATATTTTTGTATAATAAAAGTTAGATCATGAGCTTTTCACATTTACAAAAAATTTTAGAAAAAATCATGACTATAAAGTGAAAAACTTGCCAAGATTTAGATTTCTAGAATGTTTGATTTTTTTAATCAGTATCAGATTATTGATTAATATATTAATATAGATAATATACTTTTTTTGGGGAAGAAATATATCTTAATTTTCTTTTCTCATTAGTTATACCTTATAGTATAATGCGTTCGTAGGATTCTCATGAAACAGATGAAATATTCAAAATAATGGGTGATATTCTGAGAAACATTCAGATTTATTGAAAGCGCAACAATGCAATTGTTCACCTCTATGGAATTGACGATCACCTCTATGGAGACAAATACGTTAACAAAGTATCCTCAGTTTATGTCACCAAAGACTACAACAAGCTCTGAGTCAAAATGACAGACTAACCCTTATCATACTAGGTAGAGTAACAGTAAAATGAGATAACTCGTAATGCAATATATTCAATGGCAATTAAAATCTTTTATCCGAAAATATAGTTGATGAATATTATTAAAATTTGATTAGACTTTTTATTATTTTTTATATTATTTTTTGAAATTATGATGCCAATCCAAAAGCCTAATGTGACATACAACAAATTTGAGTATGACTATTTTTCATCGTAAATACATAGAATCACATATCCTCATCAATAATATAACATACTAGGAAAATAAAAAGAAAAATATTACTGTGAAAATGAAAATATAAGACTTAAATATATATGAAAATATATTGTGCAAATTTTATTTTACTGGGTGCTTAAAAGATTAGAAGTTGAAAGTTCAATCAATGTTTTTGATTAATAAAAAATAAAAAGAATTCATTGATTATCGATATATTATTGATAATAAATGTTTAAAAACTTATATGATAGATAAGTAAACTGGTTTTATAGTAAAATTGGTAGATCGACTTTCCAACGTGTAAATTTATAACAACATTTTTTCTAAACAAATTTTTTTATATCTTATCATGACTTTCGTTTGGTTTGAGTTAAATACTTTTGAATATGAGGTGATCGATCAATTAAACATAAAGATAATGATAAAGAAAATGATGATAAAATCGAGTAAGTTTAAGTATATATAAGTGAATCTTTAAAAAGTCTGCAATACAAACTTCATTTAATGTCAGGGAATTTTGAGTACTTAAGATCTCTGTCTTTGCTTATTGTTTGTTGAAAATTTTCCAATTCATTCGCAATAATGGAGGGAGTGCTGAATGGTTTCTAAGTCATAAGATTAATCCAGGCCTCCTAAATTCTGGGATTCCTCTACAGAATCCCAGAATTAACCAAAATTAAAACTTGCGGCGTCTGTAAATTAAGGACACCGTCAGTATCATAGGCCTTGATTATTCGGCAATTGATGGTTAGAGTAACTAAACAAGTACTTGTTTTTCATCTGGGATGTTACACTGAAGCGTCCCACTTGTTTGAAGTGAGAGAAAAATGTTGCCACGAGCAATTCTTTTCTCTTTTGCGCCGTACGCAAAGTTGGGGCATATGATATTTGAAATATTTGTTCGCCGAAATATCCAAGCAATGAGATGATAAGTTCTTATTACTCACGAGCCCACTGAGTCGTGATCGGTCTTGTACGTGCTGTCGTTCTAGGTAGAGCCACATTGCACATCTCAAGAAATTCAACAGGAAGTGTAAAAGAAGGCAGGCGAGTAAAAAGATTGCTAGTGGATGTTTGTAAGACTTTTCCATATTCTATTTTGCAATTATTGATCCGAGTGACATTTGGAAAATACACAAACAGGAACATCGGCGTACCAGGAATGGATACTAATTAGTACGGTCAAAAAAGCTCGAGATGCTGCACTGATAAACCATGCCAGAAGTCACCAACGTTTGGAGCTGGAAACGCAGGGAATAAACAGTGCGATGAAAAGGTAGATATACTTGTACAATATAAAACTGAAATCATAAATGAAATTTCAGGCCAACAATCTGAGTCTATGTTAAAACAGTATTATTTGTATGTGATAATATTAAAGTGTTACAAACTTTTGCCTTTATTATTATCAAAAGTTCCATGTTATGTTATAGGAATAAACAAGTATTGTCTTTATTATTATTAAAAGTTCCATGTTATATGATAGGAATAAACAAATATTGCATCTAGAATATTTTTCAAGCTCAACTTTCTTAAGAACAGTAGTGGATGGAGCTGGCCCTCTCGGACGTAGGAGGTACGAACAGCGACGGGCGGAAGAAAGATCCTCATTCCGCATCATGAAGGGGTGACCTCGTCACGCAGTCGGGGGCGAACAGAACAAGTCACAGACCTGCAGAGCCTACGAAGCTCCGTCCGAAGCCGGAACGGACGAATGAAGGAGCGGAGGCAGCATGTCGGGGGTCCGGACTCCGGCGGGAAAGGCCGTTGAAGTCAACGTCCGAGGGGGGAATTGATGGGCCTGCCCACCCAGATCTACGTCGCAGGCCTGCGGACGGAAGTACGAAACTCCTGCGAACGACACGTCTTTTCGTCTGTCAGATAATTCTCCGTCCGTACTGGTGCGTCTGCGTTCTGTCCGCCCGCGCGACCGCCAGGTGTCCGTCCCGTCCCCGCCCCACCTGCCCCCCCGGAATGATTTGGCCAGCACTGGGCCTTTATGGCGCAGATGGGCTCCATGTTCCCCTGTCGTGCTGGACTGCCGCGGCCGCGCCCTTTGCTTCCCCCTCGGACGGCGTCGCAGTCATTCGTACCCATCGACGGCGCAGCCCCCCGTCGCCGGCGTTGCGCTCGTCCCCCTCCACGGACCGTACAGCGAATCGGGGCCTCCGAAAGAGCCCGAATCTGAATCTGGATCTGGCTGCTCTCTCGTTCCCCCCCTCGCCAGCGATGGGACGGGGGATCTGATCTTCTCCTTCTCCTTCTTCCTCTTCCTCTTCCTCTTCCGCGATATGAATGTCGATTCCTTGTCGTTTGCCCCCATCTCTTGCTCCGATGAACGTGGACATGTGGGAAGCTGGAAAAAAAGGGGCGAGGTGGTTGGGCCCTCGGCCGCCCTCACATGCTCGACGATCCGCTCTTCGAATTCTGAGACCCGTCGAAGAATGCCTTCTCGTGAATTGGCAGGGCGAGGGAGGGAGGGAGGGAGGGACCCAGGGAGACGGACAGATGGCTGAATCGATTGGATCGATCCCCGAATCGACCGAGCCAAACGAGCCGAATGGCGCCGGATGATCCGATCAGTCTCGTAGGCCCTCCCTCCCGTCGGCGTAGGTGCCGTCCAGCGACAGAAGGTTTCGGCCGCGGAGGCATAAATTTGTCCAACAGAGGTCCGCGAGAGTCCACATTATGAATCTGCGGGTTGACCGCTTTCAACCCGACAAGGGTTGAAAGCGTGGCGTGAGCCTGAGGAGATGAGCTACACGCAGACCGAGCTAGGAGATAAAACAGAGCCCGGCGTGTGGGCAACACCTCACATCTTGGAGACGCTTTAGGCAAAAGCGCCGCTGCTGACAGAAGATAACCTTTGTCTGCAATTCGGATTACACGAGACATATTACATGGACGTGAGCGAGCTCGGGGTTACCGGGGATCTGCAATAATCCTATCGCGAATCGGGGTTGTTGGTTTGCAACCCTCTGCAGAGTCGGCCATTATGAGGCCCCTGCCCTGTCGTGTTGCGAATGCCCAGAACGCTGTTGTTTTACTGTCGTCCCTTGTTGCCTTACCCTCGCTTTGCTTGCGATACGCATCTCCTCTCCTGACTCCATCATCCTCTTATCTCCAGAGCGCAAGCGCTAGACACCTGGTTCCGAGCTGATCTCGTTTGGCCGCTAAATTGAATTCTTTGACAGTCGACAGTCTGTTATTTCGGGCTGCTGCTGTTTACATCGACTCTCTCGATCACTCTGCAGCTCGAGGTTCGATCTCTGCGAGACGATTGGACACAGATGACGCGCGGATTCTGTTCATGTCGCCGGGATGCATCTGGGCTTGAAACTCTTCCTCACGACGCGATCGGCACGACTGACCTGTCGAGCAGCTCATGCGTGAGCTGAAAGCTTCGAATGTCGCCTCATCTTTGAGTTTCGACCTTGTCGGTGAATCATCATCAGTCGTCGTCTGCCCGGATCGTGTCCAGCCGAGGCCAATTTCCCTATCCTGAAATGCAAATGGAAGTGGTGTGGATCGTAAAACACGTGAACTACGAGATGGACCTGTTGCACCAGTAAAGGGAAAGGGCTGGTCAATCATTAGGTCAGTCACATCAGAGTCTAATAAATGTCAAGCGCAAACTGGCGTTGACAACGAGCGGGGGCGAAAGGAGGAAGGGCTCTTCGGTGGATCATGCTTCGAGTAGATAGAAGAAGTTGCAAACCGCAGAGAATGAACATGGATCGGTACAGAACAGGAAATCCATTGCCGTGGAGGAGGAGAGCTTGACAGAGATGGACTCCGAACGAGGATCATTCGTTCAAAGTAAAGCGGGGAAAGACGATCGAGCGTCAGTCTCTCTCATGGAATATGGAAAGTATACCCCAACAGTTCGAATCTCAACCCCGAGACGAGAACAGGTCGCACTGCGCTACAGTTGACGAGATGCAGCGCTCCGGACTCTGAACCAGATGCAGTAAGCCTGTAAAGAGCATTGGGCAGGTGGAAGTGCAACGGTGCCTCGCCTTGAAAAGCCTATCAGTTAATTGAAAAGCTACCAAAAGGCATGGAAAAGAGTGGCCATTTAATTTGTGTGCTTATCATCGCAAACCGCTGATGCAAACTCCATGTACTTTCCACCTACACGGCCGTCTCGGTCGACCAGGCCCATGAGACCGGCACACGGAATGCGCATCTCCATCTCCTCCTGGAAGAGGTCCTCTGGATGGGTATCTGCTGTGTATTGTGGATCGAAGGGGAAAATTTTTAATGCTTTTAATAATTCGTGATCGACACCGGGGAATCCATGGACGACATACTGCGCAGGGAAAGGTATATGAACGTAGTTGTTTACAGAGGAATATCTGGCCAATTTTCTACAGACGGAAAGGACCCGCTGCTCTGCTCTGCAGCCACGGACTGTAGATGATCTGCACTGCAGTGCACTGACCCGTGCGTTAAATGCTCCGCCCTGCAGCTCTCGCACTGTAACAGTCTCGTTTACCAAGTCGTGAACGACAGGTCATGCCACACTGAGCTGAAGGCCAGAAGCAGCAGCACCACGAGAGATGGTTTGACAAACCACAATGATGGTGTCTACTTCGGATCCTAAATGATGAAACGCTGGCCTCGCAAGCTTCGGGTTTCCTTGTATAGATGGTTGCCAGCACAAAAAAAAACCCTCAATCATGAAAATGATGCACGAAACCATCCCAAAGGTCTCGTAGTTGCGGATCATTTTTCAAGGGAGTTAATGCCGCTCTTGTGTGTTATGTCATATTGACAAACCTGCAGGCTGACACCTGCATGAATAACGTTCATTGACTTCCAATGCAATATACAAATAAATATCATTATCGGTATTATACAAGCTCGTGAGATTTCGTACTTCGTTTTTGTCTAGATTTCACTCGTACCTTTGGCCACGAGCATCTCCGCTTCAAGCTTACCGTAATAAATGCGCTTATGGGAGTCCACCTCTGATTTATCGTGCTCTCTTTATCTACTTTATCTTTTCCGATCGGCAGGCAAACTGGTTACTGCCAAGGGGTCGCTGAACCAGCGAATAAACTATAATGTCACTGATAGTGAGTACAATCGTTACGCAATGAGACTCTCTGAAGATGGCGGCTTTCGATTCTGTTGTACGCATCAGTTATCGAAAGTCCTGACCAGATTTCTGGATCGAGACTCAAGCTCAATCAAAGCACAGGACATGCACAAACTGGGAGGAGCCTTTTGGGGGCTTTCCACGGGGCTTCATGCTATATGGTGATAGAGGTCGGCAGGTCTCCGAGGTTCAAAATGTGATAAAGTGATGACGGGGACCGGAGCCTCAGATCTGATCTCCACTGGCAAGTGGAAAGGTACTGGAATGCAAACGGAAGCGAAGCTTTCGTTCATCAGACTCATCTGACACGACCAAAGTGTGGAGGGAGGAAAAGAATGTGCAGTGTGAGGTGTGCCGTCTCTTCAGTGGATAGAATACGGTGACTTTTGCAAGCCCAGTCGTTGGGATCTCAATTTCTGAGACTTCAATCTGCAATTTCCATGACCAACAGCTTCCTTGGGTCCTGTGTAGTGGTTTCCTTGGCAGGCAGGCAGGCAGGTTGGTCGAGTCTTCGTCCTTCATGTTCTGCGTCTGCAAGCTTCACGAGGCCCCTGCCATCGACTGCTGCAGCTGCAAGATTCTCTTCGCAGAAGAGTGTCAACTCTTCTTGCCCTCATTCGTGCATTGTGGCAATCCACGGCCCCCAGGTAGATGGATGGCATTATTCTATGCTCTCGCGGCCCTAACTCCAGTCTTCTCTGGTCTCAGGTCTCAATGTTTCTAACAAACTTCTTCCACCCCAGTATCTTCCAGGGTGCACAGTATGTGCATCTGGCACGCTTTATGGATGCTTTCAAGCATTCCCCGATCCGCCCTCCCCTCCCCTCCCCTCCCCTCCCCTCCCTGCGCATACCGGTACACAGCAGGATGATTGACTATGCTCCGACCAGAACTTCTGAAGATGATGAGTGAATGATGAAGGTTTTCGCAATCTTCTGAATGAACGCATGCTTCCTTGCTGACATTTACAGTTGGGTAGGGAGCCATGGTTTGCTCATAAAACAGAGCGAGCAAGGTCTCTTTTCCTCTGTTACATGGTGCGGAGGGAAGAAGTTGTGCTCTGCACTGAACGTTCCTGTTGCACTTGGCACGGCCCTCGGGGCTTGAGGCTTGGCACATGTCCCTCGTCCCTTCAATTTGTTATACAAGTAGCTCCAGCAAAGACACTTGGCTCGTCGATTCTTTTTGCGGAGTACTTTGGCATCTGGTTTTGCTTGGAACTGGCAGATACTGTCCTGCAGTTGCTTCTGAACAGCCAGCTTTTAGCAACTGTGACTGTCTCCATGCTCGGGGCGATAGTGCAACATTTATAGAGCGTTGTACCTCAGAACAGGGGAATATGCCACAACCCGGACGCTCGTCACATACGTACGTCAGTACAGCTTGTTCTTTGTCTTGAGTCCCATATTTTCGAGACTGTAGAAATAAAAAATTATCAACGTGGGCCTCTCTATGTCACCAACCCTCTCCTTTTCGAACACCTCTGCAGGGCACTTAAGAGTTCTGTTAACAGGAGTAGCGTTTGGACACCACCAAGCGTGGCGATTACTGGCTGCCACCATAGCTGAAATTCTTACGTGAAGCATATTTTTCTGCCTCTCATACATTGGTTGGAAAATAAACTTACCATGGTTGTGATTTAGGATTTCGATCACGTAATCACGAGTTAGTGCAGTACCACAGCGCACTGCTGTATCGAGGACTATTTCCTTTCGCACGAGTTTGGAAGATGGACGTAGCTCATCATTTGCTTTTTATTAGAAGCTACTCCGCAAATCACCAAATGACTTCGGTCCTGCCTGCCACCTTCTCGAACGCGCTTTTTTCTGATCTCTTCTCGCTCCAAACATGTCATCGAGATCACAATGGCCTCCCACTTGCTGGGGAGGTTCCTTTAGGCAAAAGATCACTTTTTCATGCTCTTTCGCCTGACTGCTGCTGGCTGCTCTTCTTTAGCTCGAATCCTGAAATGAACGAATGGGGCTTGAATCGTCTCTCGGTTTTGATGCCCTTATATTTGGGTCCAGATGAGGCCTGAAGATCCACTCTTCTATGCCTCCTCTATTCGTTCGAATGGAAGATATGAAGCTTCGAAGACGAGCGGGATCACGGGCATGAGGATCTCCTCGCATCGATGCGACGTTTCTCTCCTTCCTGAGCTTCTGCAGAAGTCCATGAACGATGAGATCGAGATGAAAAAGCTCTGGAGAAGCACCCGGCCGTCATGTGAGGATGACGAAGGGGTAGAAAGAGGCTCTCGGAGAACTCAATCATCGCAAGCTGCAACTCTGCCGCAAGTTGACCACGAGTGAGCTGGGCAGCCAGCCGTAGGATACACCAGTGAGATGAACTATAATATCTAGAAAGTGGCGTGCAGGCTTGATTAAAGCAAAACAAATATCTAGCGTGGCACTAGTCCAATGAAAAGACATCTTCAATGCGTCCAATGGCCATTGACTGAGCGGCGAGGTTTCAACGCTGACATGGGCATCAAGTTCGCAACTTTGTGGGCCGATCATTTCCGAGAAAGGATGCTGAGATCTTTGACATACTGGACTGGAACCGATGCTACCCTCGCTTTGATGAAGGAATGGGTAGGACGACAAAGAGTAGCCTGCTCGAGTCTGCAAAAGGAGAAAACTCTTCAAGTCGTCAACGCCTACTTTGCATTCCCATGAAGTGCAGCCGAGACCGACACGTTCCAGCAATGAACTCGTGATGTCTAATATGCCATACACTCATGTGACCGATGTAGCAAGAAGATTAGTCACCGAGCATCTCGATACAGGTTCGTGTATTCAGCCGTCTTCGAGGAGAAGTTAAATTGTCGTTCATGCAATATTCTCGTAACGGGACTCACACTCTGGTCCATCTGCAATTCTATCCTTTTGTCGCCCATGCTTCTTGCATGGGCATGGGCATGATAACCGAATTCCATAATGGGCTGCTCCGAAACCACTCTGCACTTAGTGACCGGACGACAGCAATGTTGGACACAAGCTCGACCCGGATGCTGACCCGAGTGGGTGGTCGAATGCGGACCTTGACCCTCCAAAGGCAACTCTCATTACACGACTTGCACCCACCAGAACTTTATTAGAAGTTTTGAGAAAAGGCAGACGAGGCACGACGGACGGGTTTCCACTTTCAATGTTTCTACAACCCTGGTCCAGTCGACGTCCATGTTCAGTGCATGGAACCTTAATGGAACTCAGTTTCCATGCCTCATGGAACCTGAGTTATGATGCTTGATTGTAGATCCTCGTCTTGTGGCCTCTCACATTCATCGCTCAGCTTCTCTGCAGACCATTCGAGCTGAGGGATGGGTAGGATTTGCCACAACTGTTATCCCTGCACGAGCGGAAGAGTTGTGGATAGTCTGCACTCTGCATTCTGCAGATGTGCTCTCACGGAGGCAACCCGTGCGAGCCACATCGAGGCTCCGGCCTGACAGGCATGCACTATCCACAACCTACACCCACTTGAGCCACTAACGCGGCCACAGAATGAGTCCGCTCGTGCTAGAGGATTCAACTAATCAGCCGATGTCTGTGAGGAGTACACGGATCTTCCAGATGATAATATCTTTGAAAAGTGTTGAGCCTCGAGTCACTAACGGACCCGAGGCGTTTCTGGCATGCAAGATCAAAGCTCTGAGCTGCTCCTGGTCATCGAATGGAGTTCGTTTTCCGAACATGCACATCATGTCCAGGTTTTCATAGCCCTGACAATGGACTCAGGGCCTTCCTTTTGGTTCATGACCAGTGTCATCTGGCCTGAAGACCATCTTGAACTTTGAAGGCATCTGTTCATCGATCGTCGAAGCAAAAATATGCTCCAGTAGCTTTATCGTACAGTCCCTTCGTGGATCAACAGAAGCAACCTGCACCCACTCTGGACTAGTTCAAGCAGCTACAACACATCTATAGTATGATTTTCTTCTATCGTCCTACTGTAACTGAGGAAATTTTATTCATGGCTGCGGCCTAATGTTGAATCCAGGTGTTGCTAAAGCTCTCCATTCTACAAATCTCAGAGGTATTAATATCAGTAAGCGTTGATTATCTCAATTTCAGACCGCCATGCATAAAAGCTGTGATCAGAACCGGCATAGCAAGCCCTTTGGAGGACGGAAAGGAAACATTGACTTGACTTAAGTATCGGTATCCGCTCAGGAGAACGCCGGGGAAAGCTATATTGATTGGGAATATCTCACGTAGGTGGAAGGACGAAGTAAAATTCCCGTAGAAGTTCTAAATAAGGTAAATACCCGTGGACGCAAGTACTGTGACTGAGCCTAATGAAATGAGTGGCAAACCTTGCAACTGAGTGTGATGAAAACGAAGAGGATAATCAAGTGTTGATTATTCTGCACCATATGCTGGATCCTTACTACGTATTGAATGAGTAATGTCTAAATACTAGGAAAAAAGATGCAAAGAAGTTTTACGAGGCGATTATATCTTGCCAGTCGAAATAAGATAAGCGTCAAATGAAAGTGCCCCAATCGTGACACTCAACCTCAAGCAAGAGTGGTTAATTATCAATTGAGAGAGGAGGTTGCTTCTATATACGCTTTTGCACACCTGGTCATAACTTTGCCACTGGACGGATACAATCGTAATTATATTACGCATTCCGACCACAGCGCACTAACGGATACACTGACAATTCTGCGGCATATTTCGCAGGAAGGCAGAAAGACGTGAAAACTGATCAAAACACTCACCGTTCACGCGTGTTTGTGTGGTTCCAACAAGCCATTGAAAGACAACGAGATACAGGAAAAATATGTTACTTGCGTGTGACGTAATTCTTGTGTATTATGTGCACATTAATCTGCATAAATGGGCTAAGTGCCAAATTGAAAGCTGCTCTTATTCGACCCTCTCTTGGATGAGATGAGCCAGTAGGTTCCGGACTGGAAACATATGGTCTTCCTGGCAGTCAGGAATGACGTTGTCCATATCTTAAGCACGGTCGACAGTTTCTATATAAAGAACTTTCGTTACGTGATATTCTATGCTCTCAATTTTACGACATACGTGGAGTAGAGCTTTCTCTCAAGTACAGTATTTGTCAATTCCTCTGAAATTGCTCTTGACTGAGCTCTTACGGTCATAAGGACCAAAATTACACACCTCCATAACTACCAAACAGTCCAAAATAGATGAGAGGTGAACACAAGACTCAACTATCAGGGATTAAACACGTTGCGACTGCAGGGACGAAGAAAATCAAAGCTGACATGGTACATAAACTATTTGCAATAAATAATTCGTTAGAAGAAAAACAAGACCATTGATCCAGCGCAGTAATCAACACCTAGAAAGAGTGCATCTGGTACAAGTTGATGCATTGCAAGGTTGAATGAGCATGGCGCGGGGTCCATTATGATCGCACTGTAATCCATTTTTATCTATTAAATTTATCTGCCTTAATGTTGCAAACTCATGGAGAGAGGAAATCTCCTTCCACATCAAATGAGATTAAACGGTAAAGGACTTCGCCCTCATCTGATCTATGTCAGCCTTAAACCTCATTTGTGAAAAATTTCTGCTGCTTCCCGCTCGTTCCTCTACTAATCTAATTACATATACCCATCAAAATTTTCCAACTGATTCAAAAGTTTACAGCTGTAATCATTTCAAATATTCTTGCCACCCAACCCTTTCCAGCTTTTCAGCCTTCTCAAGAACCATGTCTTTTAAACCGTCCTGGTAATCGATCATCCTGACATACAGCGCAGACAATTGGCACATTTAGTGGGATTTAACCAATTAAAAGAAATAAGATATAAAATCTATCCTACATTACTTACGCCTGCTGAAGATTGAACAACAATGTACGTGATGATGAAACTGGGTTCTCCTACATTTCAATTCCAACAGTCTCTAAAAAGAATGCACTTCTTGTTACATATGAATGAGCTACTAATAACCATCCACATTAAACCACTTCTCGTAAACTAAGGACGCTGGGAACAGTTATGCTGCACGAGTAACTTACTTTTCTAACAACTGGGGATCAGCCGCTCCGAGCATGCGAACAGCAAGAAGCCCTGCGTTTGTAGCGTTGTTGATTGCCACAGTAGCCACAGGTATACCTCTCGGCATCTACTCGAGAAAAGACGAAGCACGGGTGAGCATCACACAGAAAGCTAGCATGCTAGTTAATTCCAATTCAGAGTGATCACGGCTTGTTAGGAACGTATTCTCTAAAAGCGATTTTTGGAAAGTCATTATACTATGAACTGATCATAGGTGCTCTTTAGAATGGCGAGATCTACTCGAGAAAACTATTTGCAGTCTTAATTGTATGCGGCCTATGCTCACTTTCCACCCTTGCCTGCCCGGCAAGGGTGGAAAATGAGCATAGGCCGCATAACATCTGCATCGCGTTGCATTTTCAACAACTCGAACCTATATCATCGTGGAAAGCTTTGTTGGTATCAGTTCAGGAAGAAGCCCGCTGATCAGCTCTACGTCAACTTCAGTGTCATAACTCACACATAGCTGCACAAACAGTGCGGTATAAAGCGTGACAGGATTCGACAACTCAGTACCTGAACTATAGACAACAAGGAGTCCATTCCATCAGTATGGGAGCCTTTCACCGGCACACCGATGACAGGAAGAGGAGAAAGCGCTGCCACCATGCCTGTAGACATTTACGAACGAGGGCATTACTTCAGCTTCGTCTAGACTTCGCTACACCTGTTGAGATTTGGGCCCCGTAACAAGCCGTGAGATGCACAGAGTGCATCGTCAGAGACCCCAGCATTTAGTACTAAAGTTGAAATCTACCAGGCTTTAAATAGGAGCTCCCTCCGATATTTGACATAAATGGAGCCGTGAAAGTCATTAAGAGCTACCAAACGTTGCCAGAAAGCTTCTGTCTAGGATAAGGTTTTCCTCAAGCAAAAGGTAGAGTTTTCGATTACATCCAACATTACGAATCCATGGTCCTACATATCCTCTAGTATAATATTGGAGAAGCAAACTGTTTCCTACTCAGAAAACAAACGATGAATAATTGTTACCATACCTGGCAAATGTGCTGCTCCACCAGCACCAGCAATGATGACCTTCACCCCTCGCTTGTGCGCTTGTTGAGCATATGTTACCATTCTTTCGGGAGTTCGATGGGCAGAAACGACCGTGAGCTGAACAACATGAAAAATGTGAAACCCCGGTATACAAAACAAGTGACAAAGATGAATATAATAACTGGTAGGATCCAAAACCTGCAGCAAACCACCTTCTTTAATTCCCGGATAAATTCGAAATAGACAGGAATTCGAACCTCATAATGGATGCCAAAACTTTCGAGGATCTCAGCAGCAGCCTTCATAACGGGAAGATCGGAGTCGGAACCCATAATGATACCGACAGCTGCTACTACTGCAATTCAAGGAAAAAACTGAATAAGGAGATTGCATGAAGGTTTTCACTGAGCATTGTACAGAACAGAACTAATTGTATAGAACAATCTGACTACCTCCAAAACCTCAAAGTATAATTTTTTTTAATCTTCTCTCACGTCAACTGGATAGAGTTGAAACTTGCCACCAAAAAAAAATGACAAATAGTTATTGCCAAGCTCCATGACACTCACACAATCTACGAAAACAAAGTGGAGTTTGAGGGCAACAATATATGATTGTGAAGAAACAGTACTCATTACATTTTATTTTCCTAATGACCACGGACCCCACGCCCTGGCTGAGCAGTGCTCACAACAAAACAGTGGGTACAGAGAGAATACCGGCTGGAAGTAGATGGGAAATACTGAACGAAAGTACAGAACACAAGAAGTTTATACAAAGAACAAGAAATTTCACTTGAAAAGAACTGAAATATCATTCGAAAACATAATATGATACTGTGAGAGATGCATACCAGACTCATCTGTGGCTGACGACAGCTCCATTAGACTTTCGGAAATTGCGTGGACAGTCCCATTGAATTCGTTACTGTTGATGATGCTGTTGAGACGTGCCCTCACTTTTGATGCTGTTGGACCGACTATAGTGATGTGCCCCATCTTTCTTTGTCGCCTTATTTCTGAAAAAGGTGATATAATTAAAGGGGCACTTGTTCGCAAACGTCCTCAGTCCTATCGAATGATATATTTCAGAATTTCGAAAATCATACACAAGATCACAGATTCAAAGTACATCGAGAAAATTTAGAGCGAGAGAGTTAGAGCAAACATAGGGATCATGACTCAGCATTTGTTAGCGAAAGAGGGACACGCAGTTGCTAGTAGCCTTGGATGAAATAAACTAATACCTGGCTTTTCATACCAATGTACACTAGCACCTGGTACCGTCACTGCCCTCTGCATTATCTGGTGAGCAATTGCAAATCCAGCCTCTCCCTGCACATATTTAAGATACAAGTTGGAATTAAAACACTTCTGAATATTCACATATGCAGAGATTCGGAGCACTGATGTGGCTACTGAATTCTTCACTGCATACGCGCTTCTGTGACGGAAAAGTAAGAAGGTAAAAGCAAGAACTCAAGACCTTCTACTTCACCTGTGAACTTGTACAAAGCAGTAGAAAGGGCAAATGGTTCAAGTGAGAGAGAGCTCATCAGACATACATCATCTTCTCCAAGCAAATTGTACATCAAAGCTGCGGGTACTTTCATAGATGGATCACCCAGTGGCAATCCCAAGACAGCACGCAAATGTTGCTCATATTGCGAAACATAACATGCTTCGATAGTATGATGGCCACTATTATGAGGCCTAGGTGCAACCTCATTTAGAAGAACCTGCATGCTTGGCATAACAACCGTTTGTCAAAACTTAAACACGGAGAAAATCTATTCCGTGTTTAGGTAAATCAAATTATGCACAAAATTCACCAAAATAGCTGCAAATCACTGAGAAGAGAACCAAAGGCATAATCGACAACTCTTGTACCTGACCATCAGCTAGGAGAAATAACTCCACTCCAAATACTCCTGCTCCTTCCAATGATCGGATAGCTTTTTCGGCTATTGTCATCGCAAGTTTTGCTACATCCGAAGTTATCCTTGCTGGACACTCAACTGTATGACATATATTGTCCCTGCGACCAGAAAAAAGCCGCAAAAATGAATGTTCTTGATAGAATAGCGTTTTCCTGCTTTGTAACCAAAGGAATCTATCGCGTCTTAAACAACATAAACAACCAGTATAATTTTCCTGCTCATTATACTCTTTAAGCCACGTCGGCACTACTAACAATTCCTTTTTGGGCACTTTGAGGACAATCTACAGAAGGCATGCACAATGATATTGACCGAGAAGGTTGTTTGTCAGTAGACTAACTTGTGGGTGGTCTCTACTACTGGAAAGGAGGAGATGCTTGCGTCCCGACCCCGGGCCACCATCACGGCCAATTCCTGCAATGAGCTTTATGAGCAAACTGTGGCGAAATGTTGCTACTTCGGGATGAAGACAACAAATCACGCGAACAAAACATACCTTCACAAAAGGTGCCCACTTCTCGGCATACAGTCCACGCTCATAACCACCTAAGGCTGCACAGTGAACGTAAATTGAAACATATAGCACCCAGTGAGATGACATGTTTCTTAGTCAGCAGTAACTCGAAGTCTCCAAAGCAACCTGAAAAGGCACATTGCGAACGCTGTTTATATTTGTAATATGCTTACAGATATGCAGGTAATCAAATCTATGCAAGAAGCTCCTTACAGGAGACTGCTTTGGTCAGGTCCTCTTTCGAACGAACAACTGCATTCCCACGGCCATCGTATGCCAGCCGTCGACTTTTAAGCATAAGGGGATAACCAAAGATGCGTAGTGCTTCTTCTGCACTTTCTGCGTTGTCTATCTGCGATGCAAAAGAGCGTTACAGCGTTATATACAAGGAAGCAGGGAATTAATCGTACAGGTTTAGCATCAGAATATCATCGCAGAGCTCACAGATAAGAGATGTGAAGTCTATTCATTGAGCAGGTGAACAATCAAGGGACACGGCGGATATACGCTAGACGGCGGGTTTCTGAACAAGCTCCCCACGTGAATAGGCACCCTGTCGTGCTTATCGGACGATTCCCATAGCTGCATAGTCTAGAATGGACATGTTACGATATAAACAGAAGCCAGGTTATGATACACGAGGTGCATATCATGGTGGTGGATGTCATAGTTGCTAAACTATACAGATCTCATGGACTGGATGCTGTCTAGAGGTACATGTTGAGGAAGGGCGATCTACTTGCGCCTTAATAATTCCGATTGAGTCATGTACTTAATCCAAGATAGAACATGTGGAAGACTAAAGTGCTGAAGTTGGCTAGAATGTGACTCCCGTCATTTGTCGTAGACCTGGATCTGAAGTTTCGGGGCAGATTAGCAAATAATCAAGTCCTTAAAACATCAGGTGTAAGATGAGAATGTGTGAATTAGCTCCCAGTACTAACTAGGAAATATAACCCCTCCGAGCGCGTGTGGAGAGATTAACATCAGATCGTTGAACTCCAGAACTGCGGGGACGAAGAGATCATCTACATATCGTCGAACGTTGAGAAGTCTAGTTAGAAGGTCGGGGTGTTCCATTAAGAAGAAGGAATACTGTGAGGAGTCGACATCATAAAGAAGGTAGTGCAGGCCAGCACGGTGAATGGCAACAATAAGGGATCCCGGAGTAAAGTACTAAGGCTTGAGATGATAAATACTACCTACCATATGTAGAGAGATAAGCCGAAACAGGATGAAATGTTAAGGAAAGACATGATGCTGCCAAATAGTTTGCTCTGCACTTTTCAGAAACACCACAACTCGCGATAAATTGCAACAAAAATCAAACAGTGCTAAGTCTACTGCAGTACATAGATAGAACCGTACCCACCTTCATAAAGTCAGGAAGCGCTACGCCATGCTCACGAAAGTGAACCTTTTGTAGGTACTTGTCCTGAGAATGCAAGTATTTCAGGAGTCAGTAGTGTAGTTTTAACGAAAAAACAGTACCTCTTTGCAAAAGACTATAGATTCACACCGTTCCACAGTATGACAAGATATAATCTCTTACGTCACAGAATCAGCAGACTCGGCAAACGCTAGCTTCTTTGGGGCTGCATATAAACGCGGGTTGAACCTGAATTATGCGGATGGTGGAAGGCTTTGGCTCTACATCCACCCCCTCTGCGGCGAGAGCCTCCAATGTCTCCACATCTACATGCTCTATCTCCACAGTCAGAACTCCGCACCTGAAACCAAAATTGGAAAGTTCAGTGACATATACACTACAGCCTCACAGTCTCGTCATAATCATGATCGCATTAGAATTCGTGTCCTGACCACCTATCCACCAGTGCAATTAGTTACGTATAACTCAGATATAAAGTAAAATTCATCGAGATGAAATTCTGAAGTATGAGTTTCTGAATTCTGAATTCTAGAGATGTAATTCTCTCGTTTTCCCTAGCACGTACCCCTTAGCAAATTCCCGGACGGCGTTGGTGTCTCGAAAGCTTCCCACAGCATGACGAAAAGCGATAGAACTAGCCGGGCAATTGTCGAGAGGATCAAGCACCGCCACTCTGATTCCCATGGGCGAGGCCGCCTGACACAACATACGCCCAAGCTGGCCGCCACCCAGCACACCGACCACAGTATCACATAAACCCTCGGCGGAAGAGCACAATTCAGCCACACATGGCGACTCCTGCTGCTGCTGCCCGCTGGCAGATGCCAAACCCGCCATATCCTTGGCGTTCACGGCCGCCGGTGACGCAGTCAGCGAAGAGCGAGGAGGCACACACAACTCTCTCAAAGACGAGCTCGAGCTCCGCAAAGACGACAACTGACCGACGCGAGAGACGCGAGTCCCGAACAAACACGAGCGCAACGAAACCGGCGCAGCCACCAACAATCCAGAGCACGATTCACAAACGGAGCCGCCGGCCCGAACGCTACTGCTGGCGCAGGGCAAAGCTCGAGCCATTTCTCGACGGCGGGGCTCCGGATTCAGGCCAATTCGATCGTGCGCTCTAAATTCTCGTGCACCTGAGCCTCCCTCCCTCCCTCTGAACTCACATCCTCCGCTCCGCTGCTCTGCTCTCCTCCTCAAAGATCCGTAAAAAAAAATCGCCCTCTCGCAGTCGACGATTGTGTGCAGCACGTGGGCAGCACGAGAGGGCGGAATCTAGAGGCGATCAAAGATCTAGAGCCTTGAAAGCGTCGCGAGCTGCTTCTGAGGCAGAGACTGGAATCGAGGGTTCGCGAGCCCCCATCCACAAGAATGACGCCCTCGGAGTTCTTGTGACGCGTCCCTCGGAGCGTACTAGAACTCGGCGGCCAGGCTCGCGGTCGCTCATGTTCTTGTATGGAGCTGGTCGAGAAGCCCTCCCCCCCTTAAACCCTGACCACGGACGGGCCAGAGAGCTAACGCATCGTGCGTCGACGAGCGGGCGTTGATTTTCGGGCCCACTTTCGTCGCTCTGATTTTGAGTCTGTAGCTATCGGGAGCTATCGGGAGGTTGGTTCCGATTGGATTTCAGCCACAGGCCCGGCTGCGGGGCGGACCTTCTTCGTGGTTGTCAGATCAGAGACTCGCGAACAGACGGACAGAGTTTTGAAACGGAGATCTGACTCGGGGTTCGGAGCCGAGTCGGCGAATTCTGGTGACGCTGTATGCTGAATTCGGTGTTCTGCAGCCCGGGTTTCGCATTGCGACGTGGAGCTCTCGTGAAAGCCAACGCACCCTGTCGGGGGTGTGATTATGGTGTAGAATCATGTGCTCCTGGACCAATCCGTCGACTGTGAGTCCTCGATTCTCTGTTTTGAAGTTTTCTTGTGTTGTATGAATTATGACCTCGTCTTGCTCGCCGATGTTCCTTTCATTGGTTGTTATTTGTGTACCGAAATTCGAGAGGAGGAACGACGCAGTTGCTTGTTGGCGCCTTCACCTCACCGGCTGTCTCATTTTATGCACAGGGGAAATTCAAGGGTATAGGAGGCGTTGTTCTCCCAGATGAGGCTATTGAAGGTGACGTCTGCTCTCCTGACAGAATGTCCGCTCATGATTCTTTGTCATGAGAATATTGCTGAAAGCTTCACCTGTCAAGTCGTATTTGTTGATCAGCGTAAAAATTCTCTTTGGTCAGGCGGTAAAATTCTGAGCCTTCATGAGCGTAATTAATTGAGCACCTCCTCACGTCTTCTCACGACAGGAAGGGCTAGCCTTTGATTCTCTACTTCGTGGCCTGATCATTCTTGAGTTCTTCCTGTTGGTCTTGCTCGATGCGCAAATTGTGTCGTCTCTCATTATTTCCCGTATGGCATGCGTCTCGATTGTTCAGAAGATGATGATCCTGAAGACCAGGTCGTGTACCGCTACGATCGACCAAGTGACTTACTCGGTCTTTATCAGCAACGACATCAGGTGCCAGTGGTTTCTTGTGATAATGTACATCAACTTTCTTGCTTCCGGAGTTGCATCTTCAAGACTAAGCTGTTACGAGTTATTGAACACAAAATCTCATCCTCTAAATGTCATGCAGGCCAAAGGGCAAGGATCTGCCCACGGGATAATTAGCAAGGGTAAGTCAATGTATGCGAGGTTGCGAGCTTTGTGGGAGAGTTTAGTGTTGAGGCATCTAACTTAGATTTTTTAAATCATCAGGAACTCCGGAAGTTTTTTATTTTTTCCTCTACCTTCATGCGCCTAGGTGCGCGTCTGTAGCATAGCTGACCCCGTGAATTGCCTCTGTATTAGAAAAAAGGAAACCTCCTCAGAAGTCCGAAAAAAATCTGGTGCCCCCATCTGCAGTTGAAGAAGCAGCCTGGGCCTCATTAACGGTATGACTGGATCTCCCCTTTCTATACTACATTTGCAACGGCCTTGCTTATCTTTTTTTACAAAATGATTCGATTCGAACTTACTGCGTGTTGATTATCGTTCTCGTGGTCACCCATAGCTTAGATGGGAGGATCGAACGAATGTCCTGTATTTATTTAGTTAACATTTTGCACATGCAACACATGATATCAGGTTGTTGTCCTAGCTTCGGTCATTTAAAATTCATGTTGAAAAGAAACAACGGTCGTTATGAATCTTGAGAGAACAGGATCATCCAACGGTCTTTACTAATGAATTCATGCATGTTTCTATTTTCATGCTACGGAATGTATGTTGGAGTCCCGGTTGGTTGTTGTGATCTTTTGATTGAGCTAGATGATTGAGATGCTTTGTTTGTTATGCAGCAAGCTGATAGTCACTGGAGAATCTCTAGTCAGCACCTTCGAGGGAAAGAACAGGATGATATTTCTTATGGACACGTGGATTTCACAGAAGAGCTTCAGGTCTTGAAAGTTTATATTTCTTGCTTTCATTGCGATTTTTTTTTAGATGGCACCTATCTCAATCCCATGTTAAAACCCTTGCTATCAGTAAACTGGAAATGCCTCTATAAAACATGTGGATTAAAATGTAATACTGTCCTGTCCATGGTTTTCAGAGAGTTCGCAGAAGTTATGCTTTAAAAAATATTTCATGGACTGCTGTGACAAGGTGTTAAGTGGGGTTTATTTTCTTGCTCTGCTTCCTGAAGCTTGTGATTGACCAGTGGTCTTGCATCAGGCCAATAGTTCAACCCTTGATAAACCGGCAACTGCAGGCGTTCAGGCTGAACTACGTGATTATCCACCTCGGAAAAGTGGCTGGTCTGAAGCTTTGGAGCAGCTGATTGGACAGGAGATCGAAGACAGGCCAGCACAAACAGATTTACAGGGTGCACAGGCTCCTAAAACTGGAGAAGGTCATTCTCGTCAAACAGCTGTTGAGCCGGATGCCCATGCAGCTTCCACTCTTGGACAGTCATCAATACTACAGACTGATCGAAGGAGTGATTACTCTAGTTCTTCAAAAGGTGAATGAACATTGATGTTTATTGAGTAATATTATCTTTGGTTATGAGATGATATACTGGCATCACTGATTTCACCATCTTTATCTTAATCGTTCAATTTGGTTTGCCAGGAAAGCCAAAGCAACAGAATGTTCAAAGATTCCGTATAAACAGTCTGAAAGTTTCCCATCCAGTTCTCAAGGATGGTGCTCCTGTCCCAATTGCTCAACGGCTTCAACAACTTGTTGACGAGAACTCCTGCCAAGACACTGGACCACATCAAGTCCGTGGATCGAGTCACAGTGCCGCGTCTTTGACAATTGCTGAGAAGTTTCAGTTTTTAGTAGAAGACAGTAAGCAGTTCACGGTAATCATCTTGGCGTCAAGTTATTCACGGGCTTTTAGCGTAGCTATTATACTCTATGCTTTTCTTTATTCCATTCGCAGTCTTTCACCCAGCACTGGGGATTGACAGTATGATCTACTTGACTGTTGTTCCTGTCAGACTTCTTCAAATACCTGAAATACAAGCTACTAGAAGAATGATACTTCGAAAGAAATGGCGTTCACGGATAATAACGCTCGCTTTAACGAGATCTGTTGCGCGGAAATGAAGCAGTCTGGTCATAGTTCTTTCTAATCTCTCAAGTGCCGTGCAGGGGACGAACGTGAGAAGACAGTCACCATCCCGTTCAAGAAAATCAGTCGCTTCGGCCCAAATTAGGTCAGCTATACAAGACGACATTGTGGATTTTACCGATGCTGATGGAGATGACATCTGTGTTCAGGTTTTTTTTCTAAAAATAAACCCCGGCAATGCTCAATTTTTTGTAACATTCGTTAGTACATGGATTAAAGACCACCAATCTCGAGATTCAAATCAATGTTTTATCCACTGTTTGGTCGTAATCTTTGTATTTGGAAATGATGGTGTGATTCAGGCGAGCTCAAGATGTTTTGAGAATTTAGCACGGAGAAGCAGGTCCGCTCGCAATGTAGAAAAGAGCCAATCAGCTTATAAAGATGAACCATTGGAGGATATTGACAATGACGAAATTTTTAGTGCTCAGGTATTTTGTGCGCAAGCACTACGCCGATGCTATTTAATCAGCTTCTGTGTGTAAAGGTTTAGCATTTAGATGGTCAATTCTTACCTTCTACCCGATTCACAAAACTCTTTTGCTTTCGACATCACCTCGAGGAATAATTTACCTAACCTTTGAACCGATAATCATGCCAATTTCTTATCCATAGGAGCCCAGCACATCGAAGTCCGTCTCAGTAGCTCCATCTACTGCACCGACAAGTATCTCGGAGCGCTTTCGTGATGCTCTGTCATCTGCACCTCTCGAAACAACCAACACAAACAGGTATGTCTACGAAAGAGAAACGGGGATGTCGTTTCTTACCTTTCTGGATAGTTAGCTAGTCATTTTCTATTTGATCTCGTTGGTGGTGAGGTTTGTTGTCTTCAATAGACACGACTGAACTTCTTTACTTTTCAAGGTCCATTGGACGATATCTTCTGTCGATCCAGCTGATTAGTATAGTAAGATTCCGCTATGTTTCCTTCTTCTTCGTAGTATTTCAATCTTGTACACTGTACACTACTATTATTCGCAGTTATACAATTGTTAGTTCGAGAACTTGGGAATCTTGTCTTGGCTGGTGTTATTTACTCATGAAGGTAGAGGTGGTGAAGCTGTGGATGACTTCAGTAATGGAACCGCGTCTTTTGACGAGACTCCTGCTGTTGTGATAAGATTTGCTTGTACGTTGATTTTGTTATCACATGCGTGTTTCTTATTCAAGTCAGTCCAGTCTTAGCAGCCCTAGTTCGTATTTTGAGTTTCTTCGTTCCTGCAGCTTTGGTTTGTCAGCACGTTTGCAAACGGTTCTGTTGGCGCAAAAGAGCAAGCAGATGTTCTTCACGAAATCTTTGCAAAGAAAGCAACAAGTGGAGAGTAAGCTATCCTAGCGGATTTCTGAAATTTCAGTTTTTCTTTCCATTCAAGTCTTTCCAGAAATGGGACTAAAACTGTTCTCTACCCATGATAGAGACTGTATACGTCATTTCGAATTTCATGTCAGCACAGTCGTGCTCCTGGATCCGATCGATCTTTTCTTCCCTATGGGTAATATTTGGAAACCTATCGGAGTCTTTTAACCTTAATCCCTGTGTGCAGATCTTGCTCTTTGTCTAGAAGTGGTAATTCGAGGAAGCATCGAGGAAGCACAACTTACAACATGCCGCTGTGAAGTCTTACGCTCTCCAGAGGTATGTTGTCTTTTTGCAGGCCAGGGGTACAACTGGGTGCGGATAGCACGTGTACTTTTGTTTCTAGCAGTCGTGCAAATGTGTGATGAGACTTTTCTCGTTGAACTAGAAAATCGCTTTCATAAAAACTTTGAAGGAGTACTCGGAGAGATCAAATCTCCCATAAAGTATTGTTGTGCAGCCCGCCGTGCAAATGCATAGTTGCATGGTCACTTTCTTTAGCTTCCCCGGGAAGCTGTTGTAAATAGAAAGGACACAATTGAAGGAGACAATTGATCAGTCTCGATGGAGGTAGCTGCTTTCGAATAAAGTCAACCGAATCGTGGAGTTTATTCGGAGCAGAGTTTGCCGAATCCAGAGCAAGGATCCGATACCTTTAGGGGCTGCAACTAGTTTTAGGTTAGTTTGTCCAGATTCGGAAGTCAAGAGTTTTTCTGGCGGAAAATTTCAGTGGGGACGTGGGGACTGGATATACATTCAAGATTTAGATTTTTACCAAGATGACCAAACATGTAGAAGACCGAAGATGTGGGGAGGAGATCCTACTGTTTGAGACAAGCATGTAGACGTCGGCGTTCGAGCTTTGTCCCAAGCTCAGCACCAGTACGTGGCGGAATCAGGCTATATTCTTTGCGAAGGCATTCTCGGTGCGGTGCATCGAAGGAGATTGTCCGTGGTGGACATATCAACCACTTCCCATGTTACTACGCCATGTTTTGTAACATCAATCAAATCAGCTTATATTATGAGAGATTCTATGCTTTAACACGGATTCTTTTATCTCAGTATCTAAAGTGGAAAACCATGAGGAGATGAGCTTCCCGACTTTAACCTGAAAGACGATTTTGTTATCACTATAACACTAAACGCGTCTTGTGAAGCCATAGATTGAAAAAAGGGTGATCAAGGATCCCACCGTATAATTCTCTCTACTTCATCGAAGCGGGGATTCAGATCATGTATGCGGCAAGAGAGTGCAAGTTGATCACCATGAACTCGTCTGCAAGCGGCAACCATGCTGACTTTTATTTTTTACTTTCACGACTCTTCTCTCCAGGATTGGGACAATGAGAGTCACCATAAACACGGTGTTGCAAACGGCACCGAGAAACCGTTAAGTGTCGACATAATATTTTCGAAGATCAGCTCTGCGCTGGAGCTTCAAGTTGGGCAAGTCGTTCGGATCCACCCACCATGGTACGTATCTTGACTTTGTAGAAGGTAAGTTAATCATTTCAGTTTGCCCCGGGAGTCGGGCAACTTCGGGTTTCAGAATTGCGAGAAACTCATAGTTCTGACGCTTTGTCGTCGTTGCTTGTTGCAGGCAGGACGTTCCCCGAGCCGGACTAGCGTCGAGATTGATTATCTGCACGTTCTTCTGCGAGTTGCTGCAATAGAATTCGACTTCTTGCCAGCTGATCAATATCTTTGCAGAGCCCAGTTACTGGCGTTGACTTGATGTACACAAGAGGTGTACCGTCGGTTATAAAAGCCTTGCGGATGCCATTACTGACCATTTTGACGGTCTAGTAGTGCTGTCGAGTCTTTAGATTAAACGTGTCGTTCACAAGGTACGTGTGCCTGTCGACAAGTTGTCAAGTTTGCGTTGTTGAAGGGTACAGAACTTCCGGCAGCCACTGTTCAGTATCGACTTCAGAGACTGGAATCTGAGGTAGAGGGCTCTTGCCACGTCGTATGAACTGTTCAGTGTACAGTATGTGAATGTATATTTTACTGGAGGTGTAAAGCCATTCAACATACATCTGGTGACTGTTGGCATGAAGGTGAGAGAAACTGTGCACAGTTGACCGGTGGGAGTTTAGAATTTTGGAGTGCTGAATTGTTGCATGTTTCTTCTTTTCCCGCAATTTCAATGATGGCGAAGTGCTGCATTCAATTGGCGACCTGTCGTGTCGACTGCGAGCGTGTGTGTGTGAGGGAGGGAGAGAGGGAGAGAGAGAGAGAAAGCCGAGGTTGCATGTGCCGGAATTCCCTGTGGCAAGGACACGCAATCAGCAGAACTCATTGCCATTACGTGCAGTACATGTCCTATATGACTGCATGTGAGCCTACAGGCAGTGCTTGACAACATTCCACAAGTTCCGATCAACAAATGCTCGAGCTTTTATGAGATGATGTGGAAGAACCCAGCAGGGTCAAGTCTTTCCCGCCTGTATGCAGCTTGACAATCATGAGCAGTAGTCGGATCAAAAGGAGTAAGAAGTACCGGGACGTTCCACCTCACCCCTAGGCCGCCAGCACCTTGGGACCCATTGTACTGCAATTTCACGGTATGGCATCGATGTACTTTTGAAAGGTCAAGTACATAAGTTGTACCTCCGAGGAACGGAGGAATGATTCGAGACATGGAACTCAAGCATCACAAAAGAGTTCAGCAGTGTCGGACCCCGAAGGACCTTTTGTTGGTAGTGGTAAAGGAGGAGACCTGCTGCAAGAAAAGCTGGGAGACTCAACCAAGTGAAAACGCATCACGATCTAAACGAACAGAAACCATGAAACCTTTCCCTACGAAGAAGGAAATGGGAAAAGGTAAGGAGAAGCAGCCGCTCGCGCCGACTTTACGTGAAAATGTCGTCGATGATTCCACGTCATCAGTCTGTTTTGGGCGATGAGAATGCATTCTCGAAGACTGGGAGTGTTGAGGACATTATTAGGTTCATGGGTTTCAACACGAAACAGAAAAGAAGTACCTACGAGGCCACAAGACTACGCCTCTAAGTACCTGACAGTGAGGTCCACTTAGTTTAAACCGAGGATCGAACAGGGCCTTAAGCTGGTCATAGCAAGTCTTCAGCGCCTCTTTCCTTGGAGCAATGTTGTGAATTTTAGTTGGAGTAGAGCACTTAAATGCATATTGTGTACCAGAAACGATGGAACGCAAACACCACCTGCCCGGTGTCTGCGCAGCTGAAAGTGCATTTGCTTGGGAGAGCATCTAGCGCCAAGAAGAATGCATGGGAGCATACGGGAGTCGTAACATTCATGAACTGCCGCTCTAGATTCGCTGTTGGTGATGAGGCGAGCCCTGGACGGAAGCCGAAGCTTTCGCAGTGCAGGTGTTGCCTTTCATGCCTATGGTTGTAATGATTCTCTGTATGGCCATGGCAGCTGCAGTCAAGCGAGCTCGCATCGCACCAGAAAAGAATGTCACCCTCGTCCACGGCTTCTTTCGTAAATCTCGACTCTCCAGTTGCCCTCGGGGCGTCAGAATATCCCTTTTCATCACCATCACGCTCGACCATCATGCGAATCATGAGGAATCAACAGGAGAATGAGGATGTCGAAGACCACCGGCTCGATGACCAACCTTTCCAGCAGCAGCAGTAACAGCAATAGCCCGGCGACCCCACCCACCCACCTCAGTGCCAGAACGAGCAGAAGGCGAAACTGGCACTGGAATATTGTGCTCAGACATCCATCGATCGGCTCGAAGCATTTCACATGAAGGCCCTTGTGAAGCGCGGAACTAATGAAGGGTCTCGCCATGCGGCGGCACATCTACAACATCAACAACAACAACAATGAGCACCGTGAACGAGCATCAGACAGACACACAAGAATGAGCAAGCGCGGACAGTGCAGTGACAAGATTCGTACGAGATTAATCGTTGCTCCGAGACAAAGTCTTCCATATATAAACCGATTGCCAACAGGAGCAACGGAGATCATGCGGAGGTCGGAGACGTGGGCATAGACAGCCGGTCGAGAGCTAGACTCGGGCTCGAATTTTCCTTTCGAATTTGGTTCCAATTCTGATGGGTGAGGTCAAAGTGTCCAGCTCTGATCTGAAGCACTGTGGCGAGCATCGTGGACGTGTTTCTGGGGGAGGACTCCGGATCTGCAGCGTCGGCGATGATTGCCTGGAATCACTGAGATTTCAGGCCGAATCTGTGCATCGGGGCCGATGGGCACATATATCTACGCGCATTTCGACGCGGGCTGATGCCCAGAGCCTGGGAGGTTCGGCCTTAAATCTGAGCAGGCGCTCGCTCTGCAGGAGTTCGAAGCAGAGGAAGTTTGGAGCAGCTTCCTCTGGCGAAAAAATAAAATTGCGCAACATCGCTCGGACGACCCGCGCCTTCAATCTCCTCGTTCGAGCGCCTGGCGACCTCCATCGATCCATGCATCTAGCTGCTGTAATTCTCCTCTACCCTTCTCTCTACCTTGTACCATATTTTCAAAGGGACGCGCATCGATAGGAAACGAGAAAAAATCGAGAAATTTTTTCAATTTTGCGAAATCACAAGTCGACGAGAAACGATTTCACTTCTTCGACGAGATCTGCTTCGAAAATCTTGAGATTTGAAATTCGATCGAGGCTGCGATCGGGAAATTCCTCTGGCATATCGGAACGCGCGGAGATGGACGCCCTCGAGGCATACGGCGAGTGTGTGACGGAGGAGGTGAAGAGCGCTGTGGAGGCGCTGGCGGCGAGCGCGGCCGACGGGCCGACGAGCTTCTCGCTGGAGACGTTGGGGGCCCTGCGGCCGATCTTCGTGGGGGGGCGCGAGCCGAGGCCGCCCGAGGGCGCGAAGACGGAGGCGGACGTCGTGTTCGACAAGCAGCGCCTGGAGGCGGAGCCGGCGTGGTCGCGGGACATTGTCGCAGCCATCGTGCGCGACATTCTTATGACGGAGAGGACGACCATCAGCGACACGGACCTGACCGTCCACCTGGTGGTGCCGGCGCGCGCCTGGGCGCTGCTGCGCCAGATCGGAGCCAGCGCGCGCCGCTACGTCCAGCTGCTGGCGCTCCAGCTGGTGGGCAAGAGCCGCAGCGTCGCGCGCGTGGACCTGGATGGCATGGACTTCGCGGCTCCAGGCGACGATCTGCCGTCACTGGTGGGCGCGCTGTGCCAGGGCCTGCGCTTCAACTATTCCGTCATGGCCCTGTCGCTGGCGCGCCAGCCCCTTGGCGCCGCCGGATTCCAGCACGTCGCCGACATGCTTCTGGTGAATGGCTCCCTCCAGCATCTGAACCTCCGGCGCACCGGTCTGCTCAGCGACCAGCTGCGCCTTCTGGCCTCGGCGCTGGAACGGAACCTCTCGCTGTCCATGACACTCGCGACCTTGCTACTCGGTGACAATCCAGGCCTTCTAACCGCCGGCGACGGATCTCACGTCATGCGCCGGATCCTCGACGTGAGCAAGAGTCTCGAGACTCTCGACGTGGGCAACACGGGCGCGGATGCCGAGGCCGTTTCAGACATTGGCCTTGCGCTGACCGCCAGCAGCTCGAGCATGAAGTCGCTGGTGCTGGCGCGGAACGCGCTGGGCCGGCCCGAGTTCCAGGCTCTGGGCGCCATGCTGGCAGTCAACCGATCGCTCGAGGAGCTGGACCTCTCGGCGTGCGGCATGGTGGCCGAGGATCTGGCCGAGGTGAGCTCCGCGCTGCTGCACAATGACCACTCGGGCTTGAAGGTCTGGGCGCTGGGCCAGAACCCCGACCTGCTGGCGCACGGCGACGGGCAGCCCGTGGCGCAGCTGCTGGGCGTGGCCACGAGTTTGCACGAGCTGGATCTGAGCGAGACCGGGCTGAACGAACAGGGGCAAGCGCTGGCCATGATCTCGCTCGCACTCCGATCCAATACCTCGCTGCGCAAGCTGAATCTCGGCGGCAACTGCGTGTTCAAAGACGACGGGGGCAAGTTTCTGGGCGACATGCTGGGGCTCAATTCGGGGCTGCGGGAGCTCGGATTGAGCGGCTGCACGTCTCGCGCCGGGGCCTGGAGGGACGACGAGTCGATGGATGCTCTGGCGGCCGGGCCGCAGCTGAACTGCGCTCTCGAGCGGCTGGATTTCAGCCGCAATGCGCCCAGGCCGCAGCTGTTCCACTCGCTGGGCGCCAACGACACCCTCACGAGCTTGAATCTGGAGCTGTGCGATTTCGACCGCGGCCCTTCCGTGGAGGCGATTCTGGCCCTGCTGCGCCGGAACTGCAGCTTGACGAGCCTCCGCCTCGACACCTGCACTGGCCTCGAGGACACGGACCTGGCCCGAATCCGCCTGCAGCTCGAGACGAACGCCGCCTCCCAATGCGTCTCGACCAAGCGGCTGCTGCTCTCGCTGCCTTCTGCCCCACCCTCGTCGGCCCGCGTCGTCCTGTGCGGGGCTCCATTCGCTGGCAAGTATTCTCTCCCTCCCGCACTCCTTCCATCGTTGTCACATTCGAGCTCCCATGCCGCCCCCCTCGAATCAAACCACCGAATATGCACGTGAGCGCAACCCCCACTCCCAGAAACATTCTTACCGGGCTCTCATCGTTCGTCCCTCCATTCGCCACCCGCGAGTTCCCGAGATGGCGTGCATTGATCCCCGAGTCGTGCGAGCGGTGAGACGACGGGGCGTCGAATTGACGAGAACCCCCCGGCGGCGATCGATGGATGTGCAGGCAAGACGGCGCTGTTGGGTTCGGCGGTGGAGGCGCACAGGCTGGAGAAGCTGTCGCGGGTCAGGGCGATGGTGCTGCAGGTGCGCAAGCTGTCGGATTTCCTGCGGAAGAAGGGCTGGCACAGGAGGATGCGCTGGGGCGCCAGGAAGCCAGCAGCGCTCGAGAGCACGAGCGGGGTCGAGATCCAGATGCTGGAGGACGACCGCGGCGCGAGCGTGGCCCTCTGGGACGTCGCGGGGCACGAGGACGTTCCCAGCTTCCACGAGAACGTCTTGGCGAGCTGCCGCGCTGGGGGCGCAACGGTGGCCTTCGTCGTGGTCTGCAATCTGTGCCGGGCGCAGGACGGGCAGGAGCTCGAGTCGCTAAAATCCGCCGCCGACGTGGCGGACGAGTGCGAGTTCTGGTTCAAGCTGCTGGCCTCGACCACCAGGCTGCGCCCGCGCCCGCGAGTCTTCGTCGCGCTCAACCGGAAAGTTGCTTCGAAGAAGCGCACGTCGCGAGCCCTCATCGACGCCGTGTCCGCGACGCTGGCCCGCTTGCGCACGCAGTTCGAACCGTACCTGGACGTCGTGCTCCGCGAGAAGGACGCCGTCGAGGTTCTGGACGCGTGGTCGGCGCCGGCGGTGAGCCCGTTCTTTCAAACCGTGCTCAAGAGCACGCTCGACGTCGCGGTGGACTCGCGGAAGCCCCCCGTTCCGGTCGCGGCCGAGGATCTGAACGTCGCGATCACCAAGTGGATGCTTCGTCACAGCAGCCGGCCAATCATCACCTGGCACAAGTTCCACAAGCTGTGTCTCGTGAGCGGCATCGAGGACTTCGGCTCCGGTGGCGCGTCGAAGGACGACGACGACGCGGCGCAGATCGAGGAGCGCTGCCGCGCCGTCGCGAGCTTCATGCACGACGCCGGGCAGATCGTCTTCTTCCCGGAGCTCGAGGTCGTGGTCATCAGCCCCCGCTGGTTCTTCCACTGCCTCCTGGGGCGCCTGGCCGGTGCCGGCGCCACCCTCGAGCGGGGCCTGGCCACGGGCGCCAAACTCTACGACGTCTTCTGCGACACGCTCGACGTGTTCTCCAAGCGCAAGCAGGACAAGCTCCGCGTCATCCTGCCCGAGGCCAAGCTGATCCAGCTCCTGCTCCGGTCCGAGCTGTGCTTCGAGAGCACCTCGGACCCCGACCCGGACTCGAGGCTGTTTTGCGTGCCCGCAGCTCTGCCGCTCGACGAGTTTTGGATCACGGACTGTGGATCTCGGCGCCTAGGCTGGCCGGCGGTACCGCCTTCGGAGCTCGACCGACCGCTGCGCCACTTGGGCCGCAGACTCGCCTGCCGGGACCAAGTCTGCACCTTCCTCACTCCGGGATTCTTCCCAAGATTGCAAGTGAGTCCTCGTGCTCTCCCTCCCTCTCAATTTCCAGTCGAATTCTCCGCCATGAATTGCAGGCCAAGCCATCCTTCGCGGAGGCTGAGCACCTTTCGTGAGATCGTCAGAGCTCGATCGTTTCAGCCCGAAGCAACTTCAATTTTGGGTCATCCTGGCGAAACTCTGAGGAGAATTTCTCTGTCGGATTCGGGTTCAGGGTTCTGGGTTTCGGGAGCTGATGCAGTGAATTTCATTGATTTCGGAGTTCTTTCGAAAATTGATGCGAGTGTTGATTTTCTTTGCGCGTTGGGTAAATTGTGGTGGACGATGTGTCGATGCCCGCAGGTTCATTTGCACAATCAATTTTTGAAGCTGGGAGGATTCGAGAGGGCGAAGTACAGAGTGGAGCGGAGTCTGATCAGCGTGAGCCACGGGGGCGTGGATTATCTGATCGAGTACAGCCCCTTCGACCACTTCGTGGACATTCTGGTCAGGCACCCGGGGGACTCGAGCGAAACGCTGGCGCTCGTGCAGCAGAATGTGGTCGGGCCGATTCAGGAGTTTTGTGCTTCTCCCGGAGGCTGCCAGGGCGTGGATCTGGTCGAGGGAGTGATCCGCACCTCGAGCGTCGAGAGGCTGGACCTCTGCCAGCACAGGAGGAGCCAGAGCGCCTCGTTGAGCGAGTTGGTTCGAGAGCTGCAGGTCCACGGCTCAGAACATCGCCATCGCTGGCCCGAGGATGCGGAGGGCCGTGAGGATTCGGAGTACATCGTCCTGCTCCTTGGCAAAGAGGATCTGCAGAGCCAAGCTGACAAATGGGCCAGGGGCCTCGAGCACGCCGCTCTCAAGCTGGGGCTGGACTCCACGGAGCAGCAGGATTCCCCCCGCACCGAGCCCGACGATGAGCACGATCATGTCAAAGGCCTTTCTGCCGATCTGAGGGAGGCGTTGAGCCAAATGCTGGGATCGGAGCGCAGAGCGTTCTTGTCCATCACGAGGAGGATCGATCGGCTGAAAGGCTGGCAGGAGAGAATCCTGGAGCACCTGAGCTCGAGGCTGAACGAGCTGAACCCGTTCACGGCGCAGCTGCACGAGTGCGATCTGCCAAGGCTCGCCTACTTCACCGTCACGGTGCTCACAGGCGTGACCGAAACGAGGCAGATCGTCGCGGAGATGAGCTCGGGCCTGACAGCAGGAGTGCAAGTTCACTACATGTGCGAGGCTCAGGGCGAGGGGAAGCCGCACATCGTGCCCAAGCAGCTCGGCAGGAATGTGAGCTTGACCCCCGAGAGCCTGAAGCGCTGGTGGCCGTACCTGGCTGGGGCCCTGAGCGTGCTGGATGTGATGGTGAAGGCCGGGGCCGAAAAGCTGATCTCGAGTGCCTCGATTCCAACATTCTCCGTCAGGCCCTATTGGAACGACAAGCTCTTCTGGGATGGTGTGGGCAACCCGGGCACCTCTGCCCCTCAGTGGCTGGTGGACTTCTTCATGGGCCCCGGGCCACAACGAATTTATGACGACTTCATGTTGCACAAGGTATACTACGAGGAGTCCGAGCAGGTGGCATGGATTTGTGACGATCACATGAGAAGAGGAAAGGAGTGTGGTATTCTCGGGCATCTTGCAGCTTAGGGAGCGAGAGCGAGGGAGGAAGAGAGGTGGACGACCTTCCTCTCCATCTCTGTTTTCTGATTGTATATAGTAGAGACAAGTAAATAGCAGCAGCAGATGGAGAAGATTCGTCTAGGGAGGCTTAGTGTCGGAAGAGAGAGTGAGTTAGTGTGCGTTTTGTAGGTTTGTGTGTGTGTGTTTGTGTGTTTACAGTAGCAGCAGCTAGATTGTAAAATGCAGTGCCTAGGACAAGGTGTGGCTCGTCTGGAGTTGTATTTAGAAGATGTAAATTAGGGAATTATGATAAAGCAGTTAGAGAACAGATGGAGGCAGGAGGTGTACACAGGGAGAGAAAAGCACTGCAGAGGGAATCACTTTGCATTGATTTTCCCGCAAGCAGCCCACATGTGCGATAGGGATAGGACATAGTTGGACAGTTGGTACTATCGGGAGCCTTGTAAACAGCGTAGATTGTAGATTCTAGAAAAGGCTCAAAGGTGCGTCACGAAGCTCGAAGAAGAAGAGCTTAAATTTTTGTAATCGAGATCTGATCGTCTCGCAAAAGCTGATATCATGCAAATGAGTCGAGAGTTCTTCCGCAGGATATGTTTTCGATTGTCCTGCCTGTCGTACCGAAATCTATGGTGTCTCAGAGACATCTCCATGCTTTTAGCCCCTTAAGCCCAAGGCTATCGACCTCGGATCCTCAAGGGTTTGGACCGTTGGAACTCGTTGGAGAAAAGGATTGCCCGCCACTGGAACAGACAATAAATGGTTAGAGGGAGGAAAACTATATCATATGTCGGAGACAAAGATCTGTGTGACGATGTTGAGGCTTGTGACTCTTGGATGTCTTCTTTAAGGAACGACTGCCGTGTTGAATCTTTGGGGAAAAGCACAGTAGGGTCCTACCGAAATCGTTATCGATAGATAGATAGACAGATGGATTGTATTGCTGCTGCTCACAGTTTCTGTTGAACCAACCACCAAAGTCTGCCTGCCCCTTTAGTTTCGGACCAACGAGGCAGCAGCTGTAAAGCTGCTGCTGTCCACACGCTCAGCTCAAGTACGATGTCATTCTGTAACTTACATCGAGAAATCTGTAAAATGTTACGAGCACAAATCCGTACAGTCTGGAATCGACTCGACATTCTGACTCGCAGCGACCGAGCGCTCGACTTACTTTCTCACCGAGCTGAAGTCGAGGTAAATAATTCCCTCGACGTTCCCACTTCACCTCGCCTCCCCTCCCCTCCCTTACATGTAGTAGCTATGGCGAGAGTATAGGCCAAGGCCCTTCTCGCAATAGCGAACATCTCGTGAGTTCATGCGAAGGCACAAGTGGCAACCTTGACGGCACGTTATTCCGTATGGACTTTTGCCTTCAATTTCCACTCCTATTCAAATCGAAGGATCTCAATCATCAAGAGAAATTCAAAGCTCAGCCAGTCTTCCAAGTACTGGCTAGCAAAGTGTGTGTAGCTCACAGCTGCCACTTTGAGGATAAACATCGGCCTACCATAGCGAGTGCGTACCGAAGCTCGATTCGGGGGAATCGCCCCAGCAGACAGCAGCTGGTGAATCAGGGTAACATTCGAGTTGAGTCTTTCGAGAGCAGCCGGTTAGAATGTAAAAAACGCTCCAGTACTGTCCAGGAAGCAGATCCAATGCTGGTGGGTGCCCAGCCAGGCCCTTGGAGTACTCCAGGCATTGCTGCTTGAGTCAAGCTCGTGAGGCATACATACATGATACTGGGGGCAATGTATGAGTGAGAAGAATATTGTTCTTCTCACTCATACATTGCTCTGACCGAGGCCTGGCTATCATTGAGCCAGCCGTTAGAGGAAATTATTGCAGATTTCAAGGCATGGGGCTCGTTCGCAGAGATTGTAGAGCTGCAGTGTTAAAGTTGTTGTCTCTGAGTCGGGATCTGTCACCACGTGTTTAAACAATTGTCTGCCATGGAAGTCGGGCTTACATCTTTTCTGAGCTACATCTTTTGTGCTGCCGAGGTGGGCATCGTCGTCATCATCACCACCATCTCCATAGCTCGCTCGACGCTTGTCGTCTCAGACTGGCGAAGCTTTGTTTGCGGTCGTAGGAGGATGTGTTGCAGACTCTCTCTGTTGCATGGAGCTCAATCTACGAACATTTTCATATCTCTGGAAGCTACTGCTACTCACATGTTTAGTTCGAGTCAGATAAACCACATGATGTTGCTGCTGCTGCTGCTCCTGCTGCTGGTTCTAGAGTGACATTATGTGAAGTCTGAGCGAGTTGTGTCTCCTGAGAAAGTTGGATCATCGCCAGAACCAGAAATGAACTCTGTTGCCTTGTGCGGACACACATTGATGGACAAAGCGTGAGACAAATCGAGGTGTCTAGGCAAGCTGTGCCAGTTCTGAGTAGCTGCTGCTGCTGTAGTGGAAGTAGTAGCAGCAGCAGCAGGAGCAGCGTCTGTGAGAACGTAAGAAGTAGCTAAGCAGGGCTAAACCTCGAGCCCGAGGAGGCTTGAAATCCACAAAAGTCGGTCAGAACTTTGGCCTGGGGAAGAGCGAAAATATGGTTACAATTATCGCTTACTGCCAAGTTCCAACGAGAACGGGCCCTATGGCTCCAGTTACCTCTCTATTAAGCAACAGGGTGAGACAAAAATGAAGTATAGCGGCAAGATCTGCACAATCCTACTGAGATCTAACACGAGACTAGGCTACATTGTTGCGCACAATCCTCGATCCATCCGCTACCCTCGGTGATGTACGCAATGTCAGCAAAAGACAAAATCGGGTGCATCAGCATACGCATCATATTATAGTTCGGCCTCTCGAGCTCACATTCCTCGGAAAAAGCGCGGGGATATACTTTATTCCGCCATACATTGACATGGTGTCATATCTGGCGTAAACAATCACCCCATCTGACTTCATTACTGGCCTCCTGTCTCCTTTACTCTCACCTCCGGCACATGACATGACGCTGCATTCCATTACACTACTCTACACTAACGACCCGCTTGGGCTCGCCCATGTTCGTGTATAGTCACTAGTTCCAGCATATCGATGTGAGACGATCAGTCGACTGCAAATTAAAGCTCGATCGAGGTAAGTAACTGCTCCGATCGGGCATGATGATGCATCGTGATGCAAACAGCACCCAGCCCCCACGTTTTCGCTCGACACTTATTGCTGAGATTGAGAGAAAAGGCTTCCAAAGCTGTCCAGCTTAATCCGCACAGTGCCTCGCAATCTCATCTGGTCGGAACAAACTCCCCCTCGGCCAGAGATTAATTTGGTGCTGAATTCTTGCCGAATCCTTTCCGCCGGTCAAAGAGGTGACTCGCGAGGTGGATGGATGTCGTGCGAGGACTACTGGAACGAGGTAGTAGCCCGTGGGCATGTCGAAGTTCACCTCGTACTTTGGTGGTGGATGGCTGAGGAATTAGGGGCGTGCCAAGAGTGTATGGTGTGTGTTCACAGTAAGAGCTAATTCGGATGATTTGGTCGGAATCACAGGGATGAGATGAGGTTGAGATGAATCTCAGGTTGCACGATTTGGCACGATATGGACATGGACTCATAACGTAATAACTGTCGCACGAGTCAGCCATGGCCAGGCTTCGAGGGTCAGCCGGGCGAGCGAGCGAGTGAGCGAGAGAGTCGCTTAACTTCCCACAATGGCAACGCCGCAGCAGCAGCAGCAGCTGATGTGGTTCTTCAAGTCTTGTAGACCGTGAATCCGATATTTGTAAGTACGTTTTACCGTACTAGGCTGCTGCTGCTGCTGCTGGCCGGGAACAACAAGAGCTCCGAGGACTTTAACTTTCCTGACATGTTTTTCTTCGTCGTCCTGCAGAGTCAACTCCAAGGCACAATATTTTAGTGTTTCGAGAGGAGCAGGACGATGTGTGGGCTGGGTGTGACTGTGACTGTGGCTGGGCCTGGGCCTGGGCCTGGGGCTGGCCGGGCGTGGCAACTTGTCGTCTGAGGAATGAATGAATACATGCCGAGCCTCGCCTTGAACGATGCAGTCTGCAGCGAGAGTGTATTTGTTTCTTGTCTTTCCTTCTATCGTATCTTGTCTTCACCTCCGGGCTAACACCATCAAAGCCAGGCCCCCGGAGACACAAAGACCCACTTAAATTCCATGCCTGGACCGGCCAGAACAATCATTCCTCGCGAGATGGGCACGGGACGGGGCCGACGAGAGGCGAAGCAGAGACAGAGGCGGAGGTGTCCAGGATTTGCGAGCGAATAATCACCGTCCACCTTTGTCACAAATGCCCCAGCCGTTCCAGGACTGAAGGAAAGGGCAAAAGGTGGGAGCGTGATCAAGGCACATCCAGATCCTCGACCGGATCATAATTGTGCCTTTTTGTTCACGCCATGTGTGGGGATCGGCGTAATGAGAGAGAGAGAGGTCGTCCTTGGCAGTCGAGAGACTATCGATTCGAGAGTGCTTCCTTCGCCGCCCTGCAAATCATGGAACGAAGCGGAGGGCCGCAGGGTGTTCGAAGTTCGGGTATATGGGGGGGCGGGGGTTATGGGGGGAGGGGGGTAAGGGGGGGCATGGCGAGGCGAGCTCGGGGCTTATTAGAAACCGAGCCGTATCTCGGGCCCCTTTTGCTCACAAGCACTTTCGAAGTGTGTGAAGATGTGGTGTACAGTATGGGGGAAGGGAACGGTAGGGGAAGGGGAAGAGGGAGGGGGGAGGGGGTAAGCCGGAGGGGGAGGAAGGGGGGAAGCTCGGGGGCAGGGGCAAAAGGTAACGGAACGAAACGGGACGTGCGGGGAGGAACGAAGGAAGGGGGGAAGCTAGGGGGCCGGGGGTAAAGGTTGGCGGACGTTGCTTTGGGAGGACGCCAAGTTGTGTGAGAAAGTCAAAGGAGCGCTTGACGTCCGAAAGAGTTAAGGCGGAGTGATGGGGGCATCGGTGGCCATACCATTTCGAGCAGGTGGACGATAAATACGTCGAGGAAAATGGAGAAAACGGGTGGTCATAGTTTTGGACAAAGTTTTTAAGGCTCCGGAGTCGCAGTTTTAAATCGATATAGAATGATTCATTTTCTGCGAGACATTGATGGCCTGCACACTGCTCCATGTTCTCGGGATGAGCGCTCATTCCTTTCATGTGAGTCGTCTGACATTTTCAGCTCACGAACGGTACCCTTCCCCGTTCCATTCTCGCTCTCGCTCTCGCTCTCCCTCTCACTCTTCTTCTTCGTCTTCCGTAGCCACGCTCCCCGTCGACCAAAACCTCCCCTTCCATCGTCCATGATCCCTCATCATTCCACCTCGTTCCCGTCAGCTGCCATATCTCCCCCCTCCGAACACCCGCCCCCACATTCGCATTCGAACGGCCCAGCCAGATTTCCATTCCCGTGCCACTCCCAGCTGCTGCTGCAAGGGAGCTGAGCTGAGCTGAATTGAAAAGGTTTCCATTCCTTTCGCTGTCTCGAGACGCGAGAGGAATGGAGGCGGAACAGAGCCTTCTTTCAGCTTCCAGAGCGATTGATGTATGTATGCAATGCAATGCAAGCAAGCAAGCGATGAATTATTTGGTGATGAATGAATGACCGTCTGACTCCCACACGGCGCGACGGAGGGAAATATTAATTTTGCTCCAGGGAAAGCGAGAGAATCTGGGCTCCTCTTCAAAGCTCACTCGATGTGAAAAGGCCGATCTCTGCGAAGGACGTGAGTGCAATGCGCTCGGCTTTGCTCAGACGGACATAAACGTCCATGACACCGTAAAGTGGCACACTTTCTCCTTTTCGCCCGGATGAATGATCGATGGCACACTTTGCGGTGCGTCCGTCGTCTCTTCTTCCTCGGATGATCTAAAAGGTGGCAATTACCGCCTGCGGCTCATTTCAGCGGAATCTGATGCTCTCCGCGAGAAGTAGTTGCGATCATAACTTCTCGCCCCTCCTGATTCTTGAACCGAGGGTCCAATCCTCGCACACTAGCTCGTTTCCCCTTCCCTGCTCGCTGGCTCGCCGGCTGGCTACGACGATTCGCCTTCGATTCTCTTCTTTTCTCCTCGCCCGCATCGGTCGTTCCCCGGCACGAAACTGTCGTTCCGTCCAGCCAGCAAGAGAGCGGCGAATGTCGACGACGAGGGAGGGCGATGCATCGTACGCGACGGGAAGCATGTCCGCAACGTTCGGTCTGGGCCCCGGGGGGGAAAGTTGGGGTTGGGGGTGGGGGTGGGGGGGGTGGGGTAGAAATTTGGGGAACGGTGGGGGGGGAAAGGGGGTGGCCTTGGGGGGAAGGGGGAACACTACAGTATATTCCGGGGGCTCGATTCACTTCTGACAGAGACGAGGCACACTGTGCTGTGCTGGCCTTTAGAGGAAATTGATTGTTTTTGGGAGCGAGCCCAGCGGTAGATTATTCGACAGAAATCGAGTACAACTGTGGCAGCAGGGGGTCATCATGGGCGCTATGACCTACGGGACGAGCCGAGAAGGTACGAGTGCATATGGCGGAGATTAATCTCGTGAAGCGAAGCATTAATGCGTAACACTCAGCCTCTTCATGTGAATGAATTCGAGGCCTATTCACCTGGAGGAAACTTTTGGGCCATGGCTCTTTTTCTCGCCAACACGTAACGTAATTCTCAAGAGATGACTGTGTATATAATAGGGGCTGGCGGTAACTATTGAGCCAGAAATGGATGGCGAAGACCGAAAGCGGGAGCCAGCGCAAATCAGCAAACTACATGAAAAGCGTGAGGTTTCCTTTTGGGCCATACGTAGATATTGCAGCGGATCGGAGAGCATTATAGTATGAAAGCTGCAATCATATTCGGTTGGTGGGATTTCCAGAAGATCTGCATCATGCCGGAACATCAAATTTCCCACGACTGTTACAACGGGTTGCATCCGATGGCGTCGTCACACGATGCTCATGGGAGGGGGGGGGGGGGGGGGGGGGGGGAGGGGGGGGGCGGAGGGGCGAGAGTCCATGCCACTGGCAGCAGCAAAACTCGCCCCCTCCGGCCCCCGCTTCGCTGCCTAGAGATGATGAATCTGCTTTGATGTACGAGGGTGCACGGATGTTACAGTGCTTTTGGCTGCTCCCTCGAGGTGCTTGGTGAGCTCGCTTCGCTCAATAAAGATCACAATTCCCGTTGCTCCATGGAGCCTACGAAAATTCTCGAAATGTGCACACCGATCTAGGCAATGCAATGCAGGGCGATGCACTGCCTCCTCGCCATGCCATGCGAAAGCGGCCAGGAAGCGTCCGGAGGCTTCGGGCCCCTTTGCTCCGGCCTCATGCCACTGGGGCAGAGCTACTTCCAACAGTCACCAGGATTCTGCCAGTGCCCGGATGTATGTCTCTCGCCTCTCTCGCCTATCTCGTCGACAGTCGTCCGAATCCTATCTCTCCCCATCTCCCGCTGTTCATGATGTGTCTGCTTCTCGCCCTCCTTCTGTTGCCGTTCTGGAATCCCACCTGAGTACGCTTTCCACTATTTCACCATCGAAAAGCCCCATGATCCCCCATGGAGCAGACATGCGAGCCTTGCAAACCTCTGATCTCCTTCCTGCGCTAGAGCTTTTGCCGCTCCAAACTGTTCCAAAAGATGCACAAAAGCACCCCCACCTCAACCCCCTGCTTCTGCTGCTGCCGCTGCACTGTGGAATGGTAATGTCTGGGGCAAGAAGAAAATATACTCGCTTATAATAATCATCTCTCTCTCTCGATCACTCTCTCCCTCTCTCTCTCTCTCTCTCTCTCTCTTTCACCTTCACCGGGACCATGTGTGAGACTGTGAGAGAGAACAGTTTGGCCAGCACCGTAAATGGTGAAAATCGATGATTCGGAATTAACCGTGGGGTGACTCACAGGGCTCGCCCGAGAGTAGAGGAAGCCCCACGAATCCCCTTTTCATCAGATACTCACAAATCAATACTTTTGGGTGCAGAATGTGCATTAATGCGCAGAGTGTGATGTGAGGCGCAGGGGCCGGGGGGCAGGAAACGAGTCGGAAGGCGTCGGAGCGTCTCGTCACGTCAGGGGCCCGAGAGATCGAAGGTTGACGAAGGGAGGGGGCTGCACAAGCAGCCAAAACCTTCATCTAATCACAGAGCGTCGCAGACAAACACACCTAATCGGGCCACGAGCTACAGGAGCCCTGCCGCTCCCTCCTCCATCTGCTGCGCTTTGACGTTCTTCTTCCCCCGCGTGAGCCCCTGACTCGCTTCCGTCGCTGCTCGAGGGCCCAAGACAGCGCTTCGTCAACCCCAGCCCCGACCCGTCCCATCCACCGAGGGCCCCGTTGGCTTCAGTCTCGCTCTTGCCCCCGTAATCCCCTCGCGACCGTTAGAGTTCCCGAAGCAGTCGGCTCGGAGAACTGGGCCGGCCGGTTTATTTACTGAGCTCGTGCACATTTACATCACATTCGACATCGGGATGGCCCGTAATCATATGGCATGGAAATGAAGAGCTGACAGGCCATCACAACTTCCCTCGCTGCACTGATGGATGGAGCTTTGTCCCCTCCATGGCCTCCCTCGTGCTTCCTTGAGTTGAAAATGAACACAAATGATTAAATCCCCTCATCTGCCCGAGGAAGATGAGGCAAAATTCTTCAAAGACACTAGCCCATGAGTCATGCATGGGCCTGTTCCCTCCCTGGCTCCGTATGAGACTTATTTTCCAAAATCACAGCACTTCTTCTACATCCTGAA